GAAGCGAGATTCTTGACTTCAATTGAAGCGATACATCATTCGACCATTCTAGCAGATTTAGATATAATTAAAGACGACAAAAGAATTATAGCATTTATAAGAATAAATCGGATGAATCAAGAAATTTTTAAATTCATCTTGCTCTTTTTAAAAAATTTTCCATGACAAAAAGGAACGCTAATGAAGCGGAATTAATATTATGGAGGAAATTAGTTTATGTATTTTGCAATAGTGCAAACTTGATCCTCCGATCCTCTGATGATAGTGAAATGGCTTTGGTGACGACAAAGAATAGATTTTTATTATTTTCCAATATTCTATTGAAACAAATAGTAAAAAATGAAAATTCATTGAAAAAATTTCCATTTGATTAAATGTTATTTATTGTTTCATATATGTTGTTGAATTGCGCAATCAGAACTGCAAAATACTTCGATATCTTTTAAAAAGGAAATGCAGTACTAATGTTTTAATATAATGGCGACACATTATAGGTTTCTATTCATACTCGTTAATTGGAACCAAGTTGTCATTAAAAGTGAAATTCGGATTATCCACTTGCGTTTCTAACCTCTAACTTGCGTATGAAAGGCTTTTTAGAAGGGAGATATTATTCAGTGGAATCAACCAAACCAGAAACGAGACCGCAAATCTTTATGGCTATAAAAAATTTAAATTTTAATATTAATAAGGCGTCTTGAAATACTTTTCAAATTATTTAGCGATTATTTCACTATAAAACTGAAAATAAAAACATAAATAAAATAAAAAAAACGAAATTGAATTAGTTATCATCGTTCGAAATATTTTAAAGAGTTTAACGCTTTTATATTGCAATAAAGAAAATGCGAATTGTATTATCACGTTGTAATATTCGAAAAGTCAGTTGTCATCAAAATACTCGGAAATTTATCAAATATAATGAAAAGGTCGAATAAAAGGCTTTGATGATGATAGCCGTTTTGTACATTAACATCTTCGCACCACATCCATCAGTTATCTTCTACTACGACTAATCAATATCCCTTCCTTTAATAAAAAATCCCAGGAACTAATCGTCCAAATTTTATGGTGAGAATCTCTTAAACCAGCGAAACATGTTCATTTTATCAGCTTAAGGTGCAGAAAAAACCAAAATAATTAGATAAAAGTGTGAAAATTATATCTTATTCCCCATAAGATTAACCTTTTTGACTTTCCTGAATATCAGCTAAATAACTTTTTACTTATCTGGAAAATGATTTTTTTATTTGGAAGATCAAGAGTAATAAGCATGTGCTCGTGCTATAATAATAACGCAAAACAATGCATTAATAAATATTAATAATAAAAATACATTCAAAAAACTAGAAACTATTATGGCTGTGAGGGGTTAACGATAAGCTAAATAATATCGTAGATATATTTTTTATTTATTCTATTAATTTTTTAACAGCATGCTGGTGACTTGGTGCCGCATTGTTAAGCAATTTGTTAATATTACCGTAGTTAATATTTGATTGATTTCATCATTTCACTTATTTCGTTTGGAAATGCTCAAAAACTGGCTAAATCATCCATGAACTGTGCATATCAATGTAATCGCGAGAGAATGTGGAGAAAATTTATTCTATATGTAAGAATGCAGAACCAAGTTGGGGCTTAGAAAAATGCACAGCTGGTAAGAACATGATTAGTAAAATTGATTGATAATGTTTGCTTAATGTTGCGACAATTTTTCTGCTATGTATTCCAGAAGAAAATTGTTTTTTATCATTGAACTCTTGTTAAAAACATTACATTTGTCGAAAATTGAACGAAACTTATATGAGCGGTTCACGCTCATCATTTATATTTGTGGGCTCACTGACTATTAATGGAACGAGACGCCAGAAAGCCAGGAAATATAAATAGAGATTCGTCCACAGCATTGTCCAGATTTTCTGATGGCAGATTTATTTTTTACTCCACAAGCAAAAACCGTGGCAACCGAGGCAATGAACAATATTTCGCCCAATGTGCATGATAACAGCGATAACAAATTATCCATTTCAGATAATTTTTAGAAATTTTTCTCGATGAACTAAAAAAATTTAGATATTTAATATAAAAGCTCGTTCAAATGAAAATCATAAAAAAGAAATTTGAGATTTTTATTTTAAAATAAAATAATCGCAAAGTTCTCTTATTTTACACACTTTTTTTTTTTAATTTTTGAGCTAAATAAATAAATAATTATGGAAAAATTCTTCAAAGGGTCCGTCGCAATAAGTGATTTATAACTTGAAAAAAAAATAAGTTTTTTTTCACCACTTGGAAAATCATTCGAAATATTTATTTATGACATCATATGATTAACTGTATTATCATTGTTATTCAAGAATAAGTTAAAAAAAAATGATGAATGATCAGATTTATCATTTCTCGCACCACTAACTGTTAGCATGGTGAGAAATTTTTACCAGGGAATCATTTGGAGATGGAAGTACGGTGAAGTCGCCAGCACTATTCGCATTGCTTAATGATAGATTTATTCCTGTTCGAGGCATTTGAGAACCCATGATGATAAATCTGGGCATGGTTACTCAGCAAGTGACTAAAAACTTGCTGAGCTCAGTTTATCGCTTTGAGAGGCATGAGTTCATCTATCTCTACCACAAACCTGACATTAAAAAAGATGACCCTTGCGACCCATCAGCACGGTGACTCTATGGCAAAAATTTCTGACCAGCCCGTACACTAACTAGAAATCTAACTAGAAATGGTTAGTCGTAAGAATTTATTTAGTTGCGTTCAGTTCCACTAACTACAGGGATAAGGATAGATGAATACCACTATAACACCATGTCTGAAATCCATTAACTAAAATCACTCTTTTTTACATCGGCTAAGCTGTTATATCGCTGAACCATAAATTTGCTTACGGCATATGAAAACTGGCCTTGATTGGATCTCCTCTGTTCAGCCGCCATTCATCAAGGGAATTTGTGGTGGGCACAGACGAATATGAAGTACCAGCACTACGACGCTGAGCAGTTCGCAATATTCGAGTGAAGGGGAACGTGATACGAGATTTACCAGTGAGTTCACGAGATATCTCTTAGACCTACCTGAATATGTTCTTAGTTCGTTCCGCTCTCTTTCGCCGTATTACGTTGTCATGTAGAAACAACGAGAAATATGCGAAGCCTTTTTTGGTGATTCTCGCTGATTCTTCGAATGTGCCAAACAATTTTCGAAAGGAACTACGAAGTATTGTTTCGGCGGATAAACCAGGCCAACCAGTTTACTACTTGCTTACTTCACTTCTTTCTGAAATGAATTTCGTATTGAGTTGCATTATTAAATCATTTTTTCGATTATAATTTAATGGAAAAATGCGGAAAAAATTTTTATTTGGAAATATCGCAGAAATTTATTTAATTAACAAATAATAATTAATAAATAAGCAATTATAAATGACAACTCGAAAAAAGGGCTCCGATTGCTATTGATTCTAGCTGATTTAATATTTTAATTTTATTTCAATTACTTTTCATTGAGCGTAAAGTTCCATCCACGTTACATCCGACCAAACACCCAAAAATTCGCTTCATTTAATAGAACGCTGTTAAAGTCATTAATAATAAATCTGCGTCTTAAAACGAATATCCATTATGTATGATATAAGCTGCTGTATGTTTTGTGGTTGGTGATGTAAGGCTGTCGTGTTTCTTGCGGAGATGTGGAGTAGGGAGGGGGTGGGGTGGGATGGTTGTGGAGGGGTAGTGCAGATTTGGTGGTTTCGTTGAAGGAGTGTTTTATTAAATTTCTTTATTTTATAATATCGTCTTATTGTGTTCGGCATACGATTTTTGTTGTGAGATTTTAGTTAAATAAGGGGAAAAATTGTCACATTTTCGCGTATTACCATACATCATTTTCCCGACTGTACAGCTTTTAAAATAAACGATAATTGTTTTGATAAACGAAACAAGCGAAGCTACTTGACCCTGCTTGGCCGTTTATTATTGTAAATGGCGAATTTAAGTTTTCCCCCATTTTTTTAAATGAACGCTCACCATTGCTGGTTAGACTCGGCTGCTTTGCCGATTCAACTGATTTTTGCCATCGGTTCCATTTGCGATGAAAGCACAGGTGAGTCGCCAGTCGCCAGCATCACCTCCATTTTTAAAGGCTCATCACGCCATGAGAGTATTTGCATCGGCCAGATTTAAACCGAAATCCCGATCCCCGGTGACATCCATCTTGCCATTGAGCCACCAACGCACTGTGCTTGGATAGTCTATTTTTAATAATTACTGTGAATAGACATATAAAAAAGTATTAATAAAGGCGCAAAGATGTAATAGTAGTTCTATAAAGGATTTAATGTGATTCAGGAACCTAAAAAAATTATTTTCCGCCCTAAACGTGGAACTTGGTGTCATTTGTATACGAGGCAGTACTCCCTGTGGGAAGGAGTAATCGAGTAATATGGTTGCTTTCGTATCGAATATGATGTGGTCGATTTCTTACCTAGAAAAGATTTTTTCTATCAATAATCCGGATGGTCTGCATTTTTGTCTGAGCGTCGCCAAGTATTTTCCCGAATTACTATCTCACAGCCAGCGAAACTAGTCTGTAAGACATGATTAGCTTTAACTACTTACTTTTTTGCTAATTTTTCTTTGTAGCCATTTGTTTTTATTTTCAGTTTATGGGTTTTCCAGAAAACAAAATAAAGACTTTAAGAATCCCAAAGGAATCCACTTCCAATAGATTCAAAATCCACTTGTCAGTCCATAGCTTCAATGTCGCTTAAAGGAAATTAAAAAAACATAAAGTTAGAAGAAAAAAATTGCTATCCGCTGATGTGGACTGGTATTAATATTCACTGTCTGATGATCTCATATTTTTTAGTGATTTTTAATTGTATTATTTTATGAAGCGAATAGCTATTTATTTTCGGTTTCAAAATGAAGAAAGATGTGTTTTAAATTATATTTTTTAGGGCAAAGTATCTAGATATTAATATCTCTATGGGTCGAAGTCGAAGCAGATCAAGGGACCGACGAAGACGCTCGAGGTCGCGTGAAGAGCGACGGGATCGTGAACGAGATCGACGCTATAAAAGGGAAAAAAATAGGCGACGTCATCGTGATTTGAATAGTGCGAACAATTCAGATGATGATATTGAAACACTACTTAAACGAGAAAGGCGCAAGTAATTTTTCTAGGTTTTTTGTATGAAGAATGTTTTTCTTATTTTTGAGTTAGACAAATTCCTTTGGCTTTATCAACCTTCAATTTAGGAATGGTGGTAGTTGTGATTCACCTAGCACATCACTCTCAGCTCTTGTTAATGAATTAGGTGCTGGCGCCAAATTTGATGCAACACAACTAAGTCAAGCTGCCAAGGATTGGCTCGATGCGAGAGTCACTGAACAGGTTTTATATTTTTATTGATGAAATTTAAGTGAAATATAATACTTTAAGCATTTTAAAGGAATTGTATCGACATTTGTACATTTTATATTACATTTTCGAGCAGCTTTATATTGATTTTATCATTCATGTAAATATTTCAGTCTATCAAATTATTTTTTTCTTTGTTCCTTATTCGATTAATTTTTTAATTTTTTGTTGAGCGGGTATAATTCAAGAAGTAAAAACTACATGTTTCATTAACATTTCCATCTCATTTCTATTTTTAGGTAGAAAAATAAGATCATATCCACAGTTTGTATCGAAAATTTAGTAGTAAGTGGATAATATGAGCATTTACCAATTAATAATAATAATGTGGTATATATACATCCTTGTTATTTTTTTAAAAAGGAATATGCAGATTAGAAGATATGCCTAATCGGCTGTATGGCTACATTGGAAATTCATCGCATTGCTGCTTTTTTGCCATAATCTTCGTAAAACTGGTACTTTTTAAAAGCTTTGCATCAAAGCGCTAAATTGCTAAGGCAAGCTGAATATTTTTGATATAAATTTTGATTAAACGAGCTTCTTATAACTTATTCTTAGTATTAATTACAGGTTAGCACAAGAGTCGCTGATCTGGAATCGTTAGTACAAGAACGCGTTTCCAAAGCTCGTTCAGAACTTGAAGCAAGATTACGTGCTCAAATAGAGCAAGAGATGATTCATGAAGTTGAAATGAGTAGAAAAAAAGAAGTGAGCTTAAACCTTGCTTTTTTTGATTTTTTATCTGTTTCAGATCTAGCAGCATTAAATTGGAAAATTTATAGGAAGAATCAAAGAGAAAATGTGCCGAACTCGAGCAAAATTTGGAACGAAAAATGAAAGAATTAGAAGAGACAGAACGAAAATTGGTATTTAATATCATTATTGATTATTTTCAGATTCTTGTCTTTTATTGTTTTTTTCATATTAATTTGCATACTTTTCAAACTTTTACAAACTGTCAGTTTTTCACTGGCTATTTATTCTGTCTGTAGATAATTATGCAGCAAATAAACTTATATGTAGGCGTTATCTAATTTCAACATAAATTTGTTGCGAAATTTAGCGATAACATTAGGTAGTTTTAGATTAGTACAATCTGTTATATTTGTTATAGATTTTAGATTAGTACAATCTGTTATATCTAATTTGAACCAAGACTTTTATCGGGGTAAAAGCAATAAAAAAATTAGTTTATGAAGTTATCGAACCTATTTTTGAAAATTATATCCGAGTTTACTTAATCAAAAATGCTTGGGTCCGAAGGATTGCAGAAATTCATATTGTGGCATGTTTGTGTAATCATGATGCGTATGCCGCTATTCGATATGAAGAAAAGGATTGGTGATAATTTATTAATTCGTAGGTTTCCTCAAAAGTAACTGGATTCATTTTGCTTGTGCCTTCTGGTATCTATCAAAAACTAGGCGATTTTTTCAAAGCGCAACTATTGGTTACTATCTTTCAACCATTAAAGAATCTTTTGCCTTCATTGTCATTAAATTTAATGTGATGAAAAAAATGGACAACATTATGAATATTCAAAATTTTTGTAGCGTTTAAAGAAATGCATGGGTTCTTTTCAGTAAGTTATTTTTAGAAAGAAGAACGATTGTCGATGTTAGAAACAAAAGCCAAACTGGAAATGGAACGTAATGCTCTGAAAATGGAAAAGGATTCATTGACAAGGACTGAACAACAGGCAATACTTAATAAAGGTGGAACAATGAGGCCGCCTATCAAAATAAAATTCGGTTCATCTAAATAAATAATGGAAACCCAGTCAATGATTTTCTTTTTGTGCAAAACTAAGTTTGCTAAAGATTTCAGTATTGCCCGTTGAAATATTTTTATCCTTTGGGCTTTCTTGGCCAGTAATTTGATTTTCGTTCGAATTGTTTTTTCTTTTGGAAAAAGCCTGGTTTAGCAAAACTTGGTTTTTATTCATAAGGATTCCATCTCATGTTTCTTTAAAATATTTGGAATTTCACTTTTAATCGAAAATAATTTGAATATTATAAAGAAATTAATACAAAATGGCAAAAAATTGAAATTAATCTATCGTTGAACAGTTATACAGTTCAACATCTTTAATTTTCGATAAATAATATTACATAAATAATTGGTGAGGAAAATCCCATCATAACGATGGTTGATAAAATCGGAAAAAGAAGCTGGTAGGGCAGGCTCGAACAAGAGAGGAATAAAGCGATTTTAATAATATAATTATAAAAAGTCCAGAATTATGCCTATATTACGGTAACAAGAACATCGCAAATGCGACACTGATAGCTCTCGAACTGGAAAACTGTGGGCTTAGAATTCTTAATTACAGATTTTTAATTACAGATTCCCATCACCTCGGTCTGTTTTTTATACGTAGGGTCTATTTTGTCGAAATATGAGCTTCACATTCATGTGGCATGAAGGAAATGTGAGAGGGCTCGATATCTTAGTGCGTTTGGAACAATATGATGAGTGCGAAAGGTGGTCGGCGCAGTGGCATATATAGAAATTCAACCATTGCAATGGTTTGGCTATTGGGGTTTTTTACGGACAAAAATTTAATTTAAAAAACATGAATGGTAATTTTATCCAGGTCAACATCATGCTGAGTTAGATGCCACTCGATTCTGTTTTCAAAATTTTTTTTCACCTCGTTAAATTCCAACACTGAGGCGGGATGCCCTCTTTTCCACACAGCACAAAACAACTTGAATAGTTGACCTGAAATCACGGCTAATAAAATTTCTTATTACAAAGGTGGGAAGAAAGAACCTCACAGTAGGCATGGTGGAAATTGTCCATTGTGGGTGGTCCTTTGATGGTATTGTAGAAATGGTTTTTTAAATATCCATCCATCAGAAGTTTCCGTGCCATTGCGGTTAGTGTTATACCAGCAAGAGCCATAGGAAATCTGAATGAATGAAAGACACGGTGAACAAGAAATCTAATATTTTGTTTAAACAGTTTTGTTAGAAAAATGAATGGAAAGTAAATCTTGCCCAAATGTTGGATGATTAGACAATGAAAGGGTTGACTGAGCGCTAGCTACATCGTACTGTGCAAAAAATAATAACTGGTCCAAAGCAAGGACACCCATTCCTCGAAAATCTGTGCCAGGGTCATCGCCCTAAAAATTGCACCAATAATTTAGTAAAAAAATGATGTGACTGTTGCAATACGATAATAAACTATTCAACTATGTGATAGAATAGATCTTATGCCTGCATCGAAGAAGTGTTAAGATCCGCCCAAAGCATATCAGATTATGCTGATACTGATAACATAGTTGAATAGTTTATTATCGTCTTCCCTTTCGTTAAAAATTACTTAGAAATGCAAAAAATGCTAGGCAGTGTCGACAATTGCGAAAATATGGCTCAGGTAAATAAAACGAAAGTCAAACGAAAGTCCTTTCGTCTTTAATATCAAACGGCTTGAAAAAGTGGCAGATTTTAAAATATCTTGGATCCACTCCAATGTCAAACCAAATGCCAGGGGAAAGATGAAACTGCAGCTTAGACGACCGCAGCTAGAAATTCGTCCTTTTATCTTATAAAGACCCTATGGAACTGCGGCAAAATCACCATCAAAATTGGCATTTATCTTGTTATATCAACGAAAAATGGCTGATGAAAGCGGAAGATATAAAAAAGTTACCTACTTCTAACTTTAAGATCACGCGTTTCATATGCTCGCTGAATAAATAAAATGATCGCATAAGCATTCGCTTAAATATATTCGCGCCAACAATATCATCAAAGAGTGCCGTCTACTTTGATTAGGTCATGGTCTTTACTGCCCTTTCCATGAATAAACCTAACGCTCGGAAATATCTTGGAAATATCCTTATCCTTGCAGCCAGTTTAACTAGCAAGGATGAGAGTTGTTATAAAAAGATATGGTAACAAATAAGAACAAATAAACAAATCGGCGTGGAAAAAAATGGTTATTTTAATGAATATCAGACAAAAAAAGATAGTGAGACCTGAAAACCAATTTCTTGCCATTTTTTAGATCTGCTGCCGATAAGTTCATGGTCAGGCATCAAAAGTGTCCACAACCTCAATAAACTGAAAATGTTACTTCAGTTACTTTCAACTTTTTTTTACTGCTGCTATCATGGACATCACCATGAATTATGAAAATGTTATGTGACCGAAGTAAATCTTCGATCTTGTAATATTACCCTACTGAGACCAATAATCTAAACACTTCCATCTTTTTGTGATCAATGCCGTAAAACTTTCTTCATCAAAGTTATTTTCCTCTTCATCAACATTAACCTCCGATTCAAGTTTCACTTTGGTTTGAATTTATTTCTATTTATTTATCTAATCTATTTTATCTTATTTTCTTCTAGTCAGCATTACTCAATAGGGCATCTTTCTCGTTATATTTGAGTAATATTAAAATTAAGAAAAATAAAGATTTAAAAAAAAATTATAAAAGAATTGAAATGAAAGATTTCTGCAAAATTGAATAAATCAGAAAGTAATCACCGTTTCTCATGATCTGGATTTTTCCTATCATATTTTTGTTTCCTTCTTTCTTCTACTTGTTCACATAATTCCCAGTATCCACGGATTTGACGAAGTGAATCTAGAAGCTTCCCATAAAATAGATTGAAACTTATTCTGTCGAGTTCTTTACAATTATCAGCCAGTATTTGACCGACCTAAAAAAATATCTTCTATAAATTAAAAGGAAATATTTAAAAAGACCAGCACAAACCTAAAATGTATTTGTACGCAATTACAATAAGGATTTCGCTTTACTCTTTTTATCTTATGAATGTATTGAATCTGGAATTATAGATAACAGATATCAATATTTAGAAGTAGAGTCAGATACAGGAATGAAAAAAAGTCAAAGACAAAAAAAGAAAGACACAGGTGCGAAATAGAAAAAACTAAACAGTTGAGAAATTGCATGATGATTATAGATGATAAAGATTAAAATGCACGGGAAAGAGAAGGGAGAAATGGAAAAAAGAATGGACATGACCTCATATTGATCTGCTGGCCTGACTAACCCGCAACATTATATAAATAAACTAACAAGATGGGCTTCATTTTTTTCTGTCCAATTCTTCGACAACATGGGTAAATCACCTTCAATAACGATCATTTCAATGTCATTCGTTGACTGGCACAAATATTTCGTGTTTCTAGATAACTGAAAATATTTATTAATGACACCTGGCATCAAACATCACTTTTTCAAATATGATATTCAGATTGAAAATTATTTCAACCATTCAAATTGAAATTTGCCCGAATCATCATGGAGCACATGTAGTTTAAATTACCTTTGGCTGTGTAGATTGGCGATGACTTAAAAATGAGATGAGAAATCAGATGAAACCCTAAGGTCAAATTTTTCCTATCAATAAAAATGTGTTCAAAACGCCTAAGATCACAAAACTTAACAAGCTTAACAAAAGAGAGTGAATAAAACTCACAATTCTTTCCAAATCCGATTTACCCGTAATGAATTTTAGTAAGTGCTTCAAGAAGAAACGATAGATATTCCGATAAAAAAATAATTTAATTCGAGCTAATAACGAAGAAGATGCATCTCCTTTTGATAGCATAATTTGCGCTGCGTTGCGTTATAGACTGCAAATTTCCATGTAGCGCATCAAAATTTTCCCTAATGAAAATAATTTTTGATAAATTAAGGCTATTTCATTTATCAGTGCCCATTCAAAGATTTTTGGTGATAGAAGAAGCAAAAGCAACTATTTTTATCACCTTTACGATAAGTTTTGCTTGCAATGAAACTCATGATAACTTGACAAGCCACTCATCAATAATTTATTAATTGAGCAATTTAGAAGCAATTATTTAACTGCAGAAAAAAACTGGAAGAATAGTGAATTAAATCAAATAAGCAACCGATTGAAAATTTTATTCGTTTAATTCTCAATAAATATCGGCCAAATTTATTAATTAACAATACTTTAAAAGCTTTAAACTTTAAATATATATTTTAATCAAAATAATTGAAATAATCTTGTAAATTGATAAATAAAAAAGTAGAAAAAAATATTCCTTTAAAAACATCGAATGTAGACTGGAAAAAACAATGCAAGACAGTTTTCATTAAAAGAACAAAAAAAAATAATTTTATTAAAGAAAGATTAGAAATCCAATTTTATTAAATATAGATGTGGTGGAGATAGAACTGCTTAGTGGGTTGTTGCTCGGTTAGGAGCGCCGGTGGTGAGGCTTGATTATCCGCAGGAGAAAACCCGGGAGATGCTGATGACTCACATTTATTTCTATCGCCAAGGGACTCCCTGGCATATTGCCCAATGCGACAAGCCAGCGGAGTGAGTTTAACCATCAGTAGTGAGGACTCTTAAAAAAAAAGAATATTTATTTATATTTATAAGAATAAGAATACTTCTATATTTATACTTCGAAACATCACCAATCTCAACGAAAAATATCAAGGAATTATTAATTTTTGTCTATTTTTGCTTAAGATACATTTTATATTTTATATATTTTCCAAAGTGCTGACAGAATTTCAAATGAGTACCTATATCGCTCGAATATCAACAGCACTAGTAGTATCAAAAAACATGGCTAATTGGGCCAGGTTCGTCACCATCAAAAGAATTGGCGCTGACTTCGTTACATGCCAAGTCTTTTGGTGTAAAACCTCTGTAGCGAGGAATACCAATCAAAATAGGATATTAACTCAGGAAAGATATTAACAAGATATTAACGCATAGACACATGCACGACAAATAAGTGGTTTTTATTGCTTTCATATGGCAACAACAGGCTTCAATATAGAAAACCACGTATGCCAATAATTACTAGAAAAAGAACGTGAATGTGGTAAAATATAAGTAATAACTATAAAAAATGTAAAAAAAAACGAGTAGAACTATTAAGAATTAATATGAGTGTTTTAATGAATCGACTGTTGAATTATAATGTTCACCAAGTGAATAAGCAAAACGATGATAAGTTATTATTAAAGGTTTCGTATGTTCAAAATCACCAAAAACTGCACTTCTTCCATTAGGCTGAATAACTTCAATACGTCTCTCAAGTGCACATGACAAAGCCCGCAACTAAAACCTTTTTTGATTTGAAATCTCACCGCTTGTCCAATTAAAAACTTCAAACCATTTATGAAAACAATTTTTAATCAAAATTTAAATGGAAACAAATATTACCTCAGGTTCACCTCCCCACTGGCCACCGTCTTTACAGCTCTTCTTGATTTTTTCACAATATTCGTCAAAACTAAACGTATCAATTGGATCTCCATTTTCATCACTTAAAAACGGTAAAAATTCATCCCTATTCCCTCGGATATAATTGGCAGCTTTTTGTCGCAACGCTTCACCTGTGACCTTAATGAATACAATTTATGATTTTATAAAACCAAAAGGAATAATAGATTCAAAAATGCTTCATTTAAAATAAAGAAACAAAAGGATTTAAACATGAAACAAACAAGTAATTTGCAAAAATTCACTGAAATAATATGAAAATTGCTACAATACCAGTCAGATTACCTTTTTATTAGATGAAGACAACTGATGAGCAACAGCATTATATAAGCAATCACCATCGGGTTCAATTTCATGTATTTTCAATCCTCGAGAACCTAGTATATTAGTGATTTCTTCCTTTTCTATCCTTCCTAGAAATCGAATAATTATAGTAAAAACCATATCCAGTAAATTAAAAGGATGATGTTTGGCAATGAAAATAATTATGATAGTAATTATGATAGTAATATTCTAACTATGTAATAATAATGAATATAAAATATATAATTATGAAAATAAAACAACTGAGTATAAATATATTAACGAACCAGCAGCAATTCTAGAATGATCCTCATCCTCTTTTGCCGCCATCACATATCGCTTATGAATTTCTATTTTTTTGTCCTGAGTTTTTTTAATTTCATAATGGCAATAAAAATGTTAAATAATTGATTGATTATGTGGTCCAATTTAATAAGATTTGCCTATATTTAATAGATTAATGAATAATTTGACAATCAATAATTTAAGGAGAGCTGGAAACAAAGTCGATTGTAAGTTCGGTTTTTGTGCCTTGAGTAAACTTGCCATTAAAATCGAAATTCGTTCGGATCCCATCAGCACTTTTGGTTGTGAATTTGGTTGTCAAGTGAATTCGGGAGGGGTTACACTCAAACGAATGGAGTCAGCCAAGGCAATAACAGCGAGTGGTATCAGAAAGAATTCTTTAAGAATTAACAAAAAAATTTTGATTAAAATTAGCTGAATAAAATGGACGATTTTCCACCGTTTCTTCTAATCTTTTATTACTTGAACATTAAATGAAACAAATCGCTCACTCTTCGTTTTTGGGCTTTTGAAATACGCGGTGTATCTTTTTGTTTCACCTCTTCATCTTCTGATACTTTCATGTTTTCGCAGGCACTAGCCAATGCATCAATTTCCTTAAAAAGGAAACACCAAAATAAATCAAAAAAATTGGAATAATTAAAATTACCTTTTCATTTCCACAAAAACAATTTGTTTAACTCCATAATATATGTAAAAGCATATATGTAAATAGTTTAAATATGTAAATAGTTTTATTTCCAGAAAAAAAAATTTGCCTTAGCATGTCTTTCTTTCATTTCTTTTTCAATGACTTCGATTTCTTGATTCACTTTTCGTTTCCATTTTTTATCATTTTTGTCAACTGAATGTCGCATAATTGTCGCTTTTACTGAAGCAATATTTATTTCTTTTTTTATTAATTACTATTACTTATTAATGTTTGTCTTGCTATGGAATGAAATGAATACATGATAAGAATAGAAAAATCATTATAACTGCATATGGTAAGGAAGAAAATGATCAATTAGTTTCGACCAAGAAGAATAATGTATCATTATATCATTACTTATATCTTTAGAAACTTATATCTCCGACAGGAGCAAAGTAATCAGCAAAATATTTCCTCCGTATTAACAGCTAGTGCAGTAAGCTAACCACAAATGATGGGCGTTAACGCTTATTTTCACTTTCACTTACATGCATTATACGACATGCAAGAATTATCTAACGTTCATTATCTTATATTTACAAAATGCTACAATTCTAACCGAACGAGACCTAAAAAAATTAAAATCGAAACGCAAAACCAGGGGTGCACGGCTTGCTTATTCGCACCATTAATTACGGGAATAAGCTGCCGAATGACGAAGTTTGCGCATCATCCCCGGATGTTCTTAAAAAAGATTCATCAATCCATGGCGATTAGTTAATTGCTTACATCACGCAGGGAGTTTGAAATCTTGACCATTAGTCATCCGAATATGTGTCAGTAATACTTTCAGTTCGACTTGTCTTATTCTGCAGTTCCCCTTGATTTGTTTGTGTGCATTTCTCTTTAGCTTTCACTGTTAGCTTTTGCCACATTTCATTTCTTCTATATATCTTTGTGATTGTCGCTAATTTGCTGCTACAAACGCAAGCGCGTGGTACTTGTCGCCCTACTTGGCTGTTTGCGAATAAATAAATGTTTTGCGAGAATCGGCTAAATAGTTTATAAATCAAAAACAAACAAATAATTTTCACTAACTTTTATTAATTAATGACGAATATATGTGAAAATTATGCATAAAATTATAGAAAAATGTGAATTACTAATTAATAATTTAATACATTTTAAAACTAATGTTTTATTTAATAATTAAAAGAAATGCCTTTTAAAAAATTGAATGAATTTATTTAAAAAAAACAAATTTCTAAAAAATACCTTGGAAATTTTTTTTTTCTCTCCGATGACGTTTTAAAATTTCATCAATTTCGTCATTAGTTTCTTCGCTATTCGCACCGTTCATCCCAAAAATAGTGGAAGCAAAAATTCCCCAAACTGCAAAAAGCACAAATTTTAACCGAACGAAAGCCAACAGGAAAACGTAGTATATGCGCCCGCGACTGAAGATTAAAATCTGTAAACAGCAGTCACGGATCGTTTTATTCATTGCTTAATTATTTCCTTTTTAATGTAATTTTCTTAGGTTTTGTAAAAAAAATTCCAGGCGCTTTTAAAGGTAGGCTAGTGGAGGGGTGTGGTGAAGGAGGAGTTTAGATGTTGGATGGAGGTAAGCATAGCCAACTGGCCTCGAGCACTAACGTCAGAGGCTCGATTGCAGGTCGAATTTTGTATAATTTTAAAGCTCTTGCAATTGCCATTAAAAATGCTCCTAAGTGTTGCTGGAAATTTGTTTGCTCACCTGTCGATAATAAGTCTTTTAATAAGTCGAGATCGAGGATAGTCATTGTCGCCCACAGGGGATAAGGGAGAGATTTTACGTACATATTATTTGTACGCAAACATTTTAATTATAATCGTAGAAGGATTGTGAATGAATAGTAAAAGAGCCGCGATGTTTTATGAAAACTGAAAATTATTTTAAATTTTATTTTAAATTTTAAATTTTCAGTTTTTCAAAGTTTTTTTCCGTTCCTTCAAGAAGTAAAAAATAAATAAAATTAAAAATGGCGATGGCAAATCGTGGACGAAATCAAAAACTTCCTCCCGAAGTTAATCGGATATTGTATGTTAAAAATTTGCCATACAAAATTACAAGCGAGGAAATGTATGATATTTTCGGAAAATTTGGGGCCGTTCGACAAATACGAGTGTTTGTTTTACTTATTACTTGATCTTCTCAAAAAATTTTTGTTGAGCGGTCGTTTCAAAAAATATTCTCGATTTATTTTTCTGAATTTATTTTTCATTTCTGATCACAATTCAGCTAAGTCCTCTTAAAATTTTAATTTTTTTAGCAATCAACGATTAAAATTAAAATAAAATAAATTAAAATTAAATCAATTGAATTAAATCAAATCAATTAAATAATTGTATAATATATACATATAGTCATATTTATATATTTTAAAATTTCATTGTCTATATTATTTTCTTCAAATTTAATTTTTTTTTTTGTCTTTGGTTGGAGTAAGCCTGCTATTATGTCAAAAATCCGGGTGGCTGCTTGGGACCACCTGCAACTCTATGTGACTCTATGGTGAAAGGGTCAGATACACCTAAGTGACTCTACGGTGAAAGGATCAGATACACTTGGCACGGTGTACGCGTCTCCCGATGCGCATGATACTTCGAGCCCCGTGGTATATGCGATAAGTATGAAATCCGGACTTAAAACGTTCTCAAGGCTGGTAAATAAAATGTACTCGCAAGCCAGAGTAATTGCTCGAAAACATCAAGAGGAATAGCCTTCTGTGGCGAGGTTTTAGCCGTATCAGCGTGGAACGCTTATGGACGTTACAAGCCAAGCGATCACTGTCCACACCCTGTCTAAGTATCGTGTGGATATCGCTTGCTTATCGGAGGTACGTCTTCCTCATTTCGGGTCTTCGGGAGTGATTATCAATCCTGGCTCGGAGCAGAAATACTGGCAATATCACTATGATGCTTCGGATAACTCGGGGCAAAATGGGAATGTAGCGATTGTTATCTCTGAGAAGGCCCATACCACTTTGATTGAGTGGAAACCAGTAAGTGACCCTATTCCCGTTTTAAGGGTAAGTTTTGCAATCTTTCGGTCATCAGTGTTTATGTTCCAACTCTGTCGGCAGATGACCGTGATAAAGACAAGTTCTATGCGGAATTTCAACTGCTAACAAAGTCTCTGCCGAAATATAATTATGATTATAATCGGAGACTGGAATGCTCACATAGGTCATAATGCAGCTGCGATGACCCCAACAATTGGCAAATATGGCATCAGAGACCGGTGTGCCAATGGGGAACGTCTTCTTCATTATGCCGAAAAGCATGAACTTTTTATTAGTAATAATTGCTTCCAGCATCGTAGAAAACGACTAGTCACGTGGAACTCCCCGAATAACCAACCAGATTGATTATATCTTAATCATTCACCGTTGGAAGAGTTCCGTACTAGATAGTCGCTCCTACCGTGGCTGAAACGGGCAATCACCATGGATCTGACCATGTTATGGCCCGAGCCAAGATCCGCATAAAACTGACAACTCGCAAAACAGCATCCCTCAAGATCCTTCAACTATCTCAAACTAAAAAATTCGGGAACAGTGAGCGCATTTCAAACTGAATTATTGAAGCATCTGAATGATACAAATATCAATGATTTTTCTGGTACGGCAAATGAATACTGGTCCAAACTAAAGGAATGTCTCCGAAAGTCAGATACTTCCACGATAGGGCGTACTAGCAGGAGGTGTGCTGGTTGGGTTAGATGCAACTGTCCAACTGTCTGAGAAAGCTGCTAAAGCACGAATGTCAGATGACCCTGGCTACCGGATGCTTCGAAGATTTGCAATGAAAGCAGCATGTTGGAAATCATTATTGGAGTGACATGGCCTCAAGAATGAAAGTGGCGACTCGATTAGGCGATAATAGGAGACTATTCTGCTTTCTTCATACTATGACTCGGAGAACGATCAGTGAAATGGTAAGAGACAGCAATGGCGTGCCAGTCAAGAGTATTAAGGATCGCCTGATAAGATGGAAAGAATTCTTTGAGATCAAACTTAACCATGAAGCGCCATCTGTTGCCCCTGATATAACTGATATGTTCGCTGAACCATATGCTTGCAACTGCGACCCCTCGACAGAAGAAGAAATAATATTTGTATAATATTAATAATATTTGTATAATAATAATATTATCCATAAGCTTAAGGCCAACAAAACACCAGGAGAAGATGGTCTTCGGACTCTTTAAATATTTCCATCGCCCTTCATAACAAATATGCTCTCTGTATGGGAAAAAGAAATATTACTAGATGATTGGAGCAAAGCGATTCTGTTCCCAATTCTCAGGAAAGATGCTAGGACATACTGCCACAATTATCGAGGAATCACCCTACTAGACGTTTCAGCGAAAATTTTTGCTTCCCTTTCACTCAACAGACTTATGGAATTATGAAACCCTAAAGAGCAGGATGCCCCCTAATCAAGCTGGATTCAGACCGGGGCGCGGTTGTGCTGACCAGATATTCATGTTAAGAAGGGTGTTGGAACATCCGCTTCAGATATTTGCAACCCACTGCCACGTGTTTCATCGACATTGCGGCTGCTTTCGATTCAATTGATAGAGCGGCGCTTTGGAAGGTGATGGAATGCGACGGTTTTCCAGAGACGAAGAAGATCGACTCATAAAGGCATTTTATGAGCGCAGGTCGACGCAGGTGTATATGGAGAGCTTCCTTCGAAATAAAAACAGATGTCCGATGCGTTCTTTCCCCCACAATATTCAGCTGTGCGATAGACTGAGTAATGGACACCGCTTGTCGACAATCAAGAGGTGTCCGAATTAGTCCAGAGTATTGTATCACAGATGTTGAATATGCTGATGATGTAGTCCTTTTTGCTGATAATTATAACGAAAAGCAAGTAATGCTAAATAACGTGTCAGAAACTGCAGCAAGAATAGGACTCAGGGTCAATGTATACAAAACGAAGGCCTTTCCATTTTATGTACAAGAAGCTGATAAAATGCCTCTTTTTGTTCATTGCGGTTGAGGAAATGCCCGATTTTAAATACCTTGGGTCCACTCTAATACCAAATGGCCAGGCAAAAGACGATATTATAGACCGGATCATGGCAGCTAAAAATATTCTTTCGATTAACGAAACCTTTATGGAGCCGTCATGAAATTACCATGAAAACAAGTCCGCATCTATATATAATCTTTATATCCGTTCGATCTTGTTATATGGTTTTAAGACATGACCAATGAGAGTGGAGGATATTAAGAAGTTATCTGCTTTTGATCACTATTGTCTTTGTGTATTTTACGGGTCTGTCGAGCAGATAAAAGATCATATGATCGCATCCACCTTCGTTCAAATACCACTAGCATAAATAATGTTATCAAAGAGCGTCGCCTTCGGTGGTTAGAGTACGTTTTCCGTCGTTCACCACAGGAATATTGAATATTATAATGCATATTTCGTTATTTGCTAAACCGTGTGATGGTTGGCGTCGAAAGCGAGGTGGGCCAATCAAAATCTGGACTGATACGGTTAGGAAAGATTTTGAACGTATAGGTAGACCAGCAATATATGGACTTAGACGATGAAAAAAGGAATGGCTTCTATTACTGTCGACTATGGCATCAGAGAGCATCGTTTGAGAGTGTCTTATCCTTTTAGATGTTGGAACCAGCCTAATCAATAATGGTGAAAGTTGTTAGAAGAAGAAGAAGAATTACTGCTTTATTTTTTTACTTTCTCTTATTATAAAATAATAAAATTTCATTGATTTTCACTGTTGATTCCAATTAACAATAATTATTATTAGAGTACTTCCCTTATAGAAATGGTATTCCTATTCGGATGGCTTACAACAGTAGACATGATAAAATTATCCAAAAAATGATAATATAATTTAATTTTCTATCTGCTATTCAGTTGATTTTTAGAGGGAATTCAGCAGAAACTCGAGGAACTGCATTCGTTGTTTATGAAGATATATTTGATGCGAAAAATGCTTGTGAGCATCTTTCAGGTTTCAACGTGTCGAATCGATATCTTGTGGTGCTCTATTATCAGGTCTCGTTATTTTTTTTATTTTTTTTCTTAAATAATTGAATTTCACAAGTTCTTTTGCAAATTAGTAGGTAAGTTGTAGTTATAAACTGGATCGAAGTTTTGAAGAATTGAAACTGGATTGAAGAAGTTTTATTACCTAAAGTTTTATTATTACCTAAAATTTTTTAAAATAATGGTCTAATTATTTTTTATTCCCAAAGTCTACATATCATTTATTATAAGAAATTTGATTTTACCTTTATTTTTATCTAATTATTAAAAAAATTTTAAAAAAACTTCTTCAAAAAAATTTTTCTATTGTTTTATTGCATTCGATGTATAAATTTTTTTCAATATAGGAAATTGTGATTATATTCAATCATTGTTTTTCCTATACCATTTTTTACTTTTAAAATTTTGACATTTCAGGCTACTAAAGCATATAAGAGGATGGATACAGATAAAGCAAAAGAAAGGTTAGAAGAAATCAAAGAGCGATATAATCTTGGTGGTGATCTCGAGAAAGAAAAGAAGGATAAACTCGGTTATACTCCTACGCCACGTCGATAATTTTTTTCATTGTTGTACAAATATTTCTCTTCATTTAAAAGTTAAAAGTTTTGACATTGCATTCTATGAAATGATTTTTTTAATATTTGTGAGTTAAGAGGAAAAGAAATTAATTTGCACCATCGATATTGTCAAGATGTTTTGAAAGTTCTAGATAAATTCTAAAATTAGAGTAATAATGAATGAAAGTTAGCAGTTAAATTTGATTTAAATATTTTGTTTTTTAAAAGCTTATCTGTATATGAACGAGATAAAAAAAATTAAGAAGAATAAATGATTTTTAAGGTACAAATATTCCTCCTGGAATATTTCGTTAAAGATTATTCTTTTAATATGGAAAAAAAACGATATTGTCTGTATTTTTATTAATTTAACATCGAGAGAGAGTTACCTTTTAATTGTTGCAATTTTCTTAATTTTTTCTATTTACAATAATGCTTATCAATGAAATAAGAACACGTTTTGCATTTTACATAGCAGCAATGAACATATTTGCATTCGCACTGTTCTTCTATTTTCACCTGCCGTATATTGTAACCTCTGCCACAGCATAAACTACCGCATCCATTAGCACCAGGTGAAGTTACATTGCATTCTCTGAAATGATTTTTATTCCATTCATTTCCAAATAATGCCTCTGAATTATATTTGCGTCATTTATTTAGGAAAAGAAATAACCCACAAGCTTGCGTTAATAGCAAGAACTTCAAGCAATGTATTAAAAGTGTAACTATAAAAAAAAATCATTGTCAAAACAGATTGAGGATTTATTAAATAATATTTGTCGCTAATTTTTTGACAATTTAGTGCTTTGTTATCGTAAAACCGATATTATGGACTAGTTCCAGTTCTTTTCCTAGTTTCCGTAGAGCTTAAATGGCACAGAACAACGATAACGAAATAACGAACATGCAGAACCTCGTAAGCCAAAGTTGGTCAGTTTTGTATTCGATAGCCAGTAAATACATGAAATATTTTTATTACCTATAATTCACTCATTGACCCGAAAATAGAAGTATTCAAACAATTACTAGGAGAAAATGTGAATGACAGGTGATATTGCGCAAGGCATCTAAATAGAGTGCAGAAAATGGTGAAATCATAAGTTGCAAGCGAAAGTCATTCTAAACTGATAATTAACAAGGTAAGAACATGATAATCATCTAAATAAATGAATAAATTAGATATCAGTGTATATAGAAAAATATAACCTCATTGAAGTACCATATGATCCTGTAGTTTTGTCTTCAACGCAGTAATCTGGTGATCTCTTTAGATAAACCTGAAAATATCATAAAAAATATTGTCGAGGGCTACGGTTGTTTCACTCTGCATGGAGCATCAGAGGTTGCCTGACCATAATTTGAAAGTCCAGATGGTATCGCTGACCCACTTGCATTTCTATCGCCTTATTCATGGTAGCCAAGCTTACTCCTTAGCTTATTCTGAATCAACAAAATATGTTAAATGTTCAGATATTAAAATTTTGGACTAACAATTTTTTTCTTTCTATATTAAACCTCGAAAACTCGAAAATTTCATTTAATTTATTTTTAACTCTTTTTACTTGTATGGAACGATCAATATAAATATAAGAAAATATATTAGGCTGCTTATCATTGAAAAAAGGAAACGAACAAGGTGTTGCTTCGAAAGTTCTGATCTCATTGCTCTATGTTCAAGTCCATGATCAGTAGTGTGCTCGAGGATTTGAAATGCGAATGCATATTGTTCTTTTAATCTGGTTGAAAATAAAAGAAAATAAAATTTTTATTTCAGTGATTTATAGAATTAAAAATAAAAATTCGTAGAAAATAAAAAATTTCTTTCTTCAGCAAAAAAGCTAAAAAAGATGGAAAAAATTTTTATAACCTTTCTGATAGGTTTTGTAAAAAATTTTCACATGGTTTTTTAATAAATTTCGAAAATATTTATAAGAACAAATACTTAAAAGCGATTTCTATGAGGTCGGGCAAGGTATTCCAGCATGTCCTTACATTGCAACTGCTTGAAACGCCGTGACATTTGCACTTTCTGAAGAGACTCTCCTGAGTCACCTGAAATGTTATGCAAATATTTCAATTTCAAATGTATCGAAAAAGCCATTAAATGAAGAAAAACATGAAAATAAAGATTGAAATTTTCATCGAAACCTCAAACTAAGTGTAGTTTTGAACCTAAAAAAGTTCGAGTGCACCTGTCGTCCAACGTCGTTGTTATGTTGATTCATTCTTGCCTTAGGCGGTAATATTTTTGCAATTTGTTCGAAATAATCGCTATTAGTAAAAGAGAATTCATCCATTAATTCCTACAATATTAATAATTCCGTTTTACGGAAAAAATTTGATTTTGATAATTGGCATATTAGCGGAACCGAATGCGACGAGGCACTTCTATAAGGTGACTCTGTAGTGAAGAGGTCAGATATTTTTGATACTGCGTCCGCGTCTCCCGACACTCCCAGGCCGGTGGTATATGTGATAAGTGCACAATCCAGGCTTAAAGCGATTCCAAGGCTGGTAAATAAGATGTACTCGCAAGCCAGAGTAATTGCTCGAAAACATCAAGAGGAATAACCTTCTGCGGCGAGGTTTTGGCCGTATCAGCGTGGAACGTCAGAACGCTTATGGACGTTACAAGCCAAGCGATCACTGTCCACACCCTGTCTAAGTATCGTGTGGATATCGCTTGCTTATCGGAGGTACGTCTTCCTCATTTCGGGTCTTCGGGAGTGATTATCAATCCTGGCTCGGAGCAGAAATACTGGCAATATCACTATGATGCTTCGGATAACTCGGGGCAAAATGGGAATGTAGCGATTGTTATCTCTGAGAAGGCCCATACCACTTTGATTGAGTGGAAACCAGTAAGTGACCCTATTCCCGTTTTAAGGGTAAGTTTTGCAATCTTTCGGTCATCAGTGTTTATGTTCCAACTCTGTCGGCAGATGACCGTGATAAAGACAAGTTCTATGCGGAATTTCAACTGCTAACAAAGTCTCTGCCGAAATATAATTATGATTATAATCGGAGACTGGAATGCTCACATAGGTCATAATGCAGCTGCGATGACCCCAACAATTGGCAAATATGGCATCAGAGACCGGTGTGCCAATGGGGAACGTCTTCTTCATTATGCCGAAAAGCATGAACTTTTTATTAGTAATAATTGCTTCCAGCATCGTAGAAAACGACTAGTCACGTGGAACTCCCCGAATAACCAACCAGATTGATTATATCTTAATCATTCACCGTTGGAAGAGTTCCGTACTAGATAGTCGCTCCTACCGTGGCTGAAACGGGCAATCACCATGGATCTGACCATGTTATGGCCCGAGCCAAGATNTGAGAAAGCTGCTAAAGCACGAATGTCAGATGACCCTGGCTACCGGATGCTTCGAAGATTTGCAATGAAAGCAGCATGTTGGAAATCATTATTGGAGTGACATGGCCTCAAGAATGAAAGTGGCGACTCGATTAGGCGATAATAGGAGACTATTCTGCTTTCTTCATACTATGACTCGGAGAACGATCAGTGAAATGGTAAGAGACAGCAATGGCGTGCCAGTCAAGAGTATTAAGGATCGCCTGATAAGATGGAAAGAATTCTTTGAGATCAAACTTAACCATGAAGCGCCATCTGTTGCCCCTGATATAACTGATATGTTCGCTGAACCATATGCTTGCAACTGCGACCCCTCGACAGAAGAAGAAATAATATTTGTATAATATTAATAATATTTGTATAATAATAATATTATCCATAAGCTTAAGGCCAACAAAACACCAGGAGAAGATGGTCTTCGGACTCTTTAAATATTTCCATCGCCCTTCATAACAAATATGCTCTCTGTATGGGAAAAAGAAATATTACTAGATGATTGGAGCAAAGCGATTCTGTTCCCAATTCTCAGGAAAGATGCTAGGACATACTGCCACAATTATCGAGGAATCACCCTACTAGACGTTTCAGCGAAAATTTTTGCTTCCCTTTCACTCAGCAGACTTATGGAATTATGAGACCCTAAAGAGCAGGATGACCCCTAATCAGGCTGGATTCAGACCGGGGCGCGGTTGTGCTGACCAGATATTCATGTTAAGAAGGGACATCCGCTTCAGATATTTGCAACCCACTGCCACGTATTTCATCGACACTGCGACTGCTTTTGATTCAATTGATAGAGCGGCGCTTTGGAGAGTGATGGAACGTGACGGTGTTCCAGAGAAAATCATTAGACAAAATCATTAACAATCAAGGAGTGTCCGAATCAGTCCAGAGCATCGTATCATAGATCTTGAATACGCTGATAATGTCGTCCTTTTTGCTGACAGTTATAACGAAATGCAAATAATACTAAATAACGTGTCAGAAATTGCAGTAAGAATAAGACTCAGGATTAATGTAAATAAAACGAAAGCCTTTTCGTCTTATGTGCAAAAAGCTGTTAAAATGCCTCTTTTTGTAAAAATGGAATGGCTTCCATTACTGTAGACGATGGCATCAGACCGCGCCGCTTGGAAGTCTTCCTCTTGTAGCCGTTGGAGCCAGTCTAACCAGTAATGGAGAAAAATGTTAGAAGAAGAAATCATTTTGCATTAAAAACATCAACGAAATTAATTTAAAATTGCATAGAACTATTGTTATTTATTTATTTTTAAAAAATTTATTTATTTATTTTATTTAGGTTATTTAAGTTTTTAATTTATTTATTTGAAATATTTTTTGTTTTAGCAAAAGATAAATATGCTGCATAAAGCAAGCAACCAAGCTAAAAGAACAAAAAACAAAAATAGAAACAAAACAAATTATTAAACAAATAATATAGTATTTGTAAATTAAATCATATGATTAAAAAATATATAAAGCGAGTCTAATAAGAAGTGGAGAACGCCGTTCATTCCTTTTTGCATAATTTTTTAATAAAATATTATTCGTCAATCGTCAACAAATACTAAAATCTGCATTTAATGAATTTTTATAAAAATTTAAGCACAGTAGGAAACTCATTTACATTTACGGAATTTTTTGTTGTAGGAATCCGAATAGAAATTCAGATGGAACTTACACAGTTGACGTTTGGCCTCTTTATACTCCAAACAGCATGGAATACCTAAATTTAACAATTGAATCAGATTATCTAAAAGGAGCAAATCGAATTGGTACTGGTCCAAGGAGGAAACAATGTTCATTTTGGAAAAAACATCTTCCAAATCTTATGTCCGCTGTAGGTAATAGTTTTGAATAATAAGGCGATCAACCACTGACCGTTTGCTGGAATCCTCTTTTTTTTATAGCTCATACCATTTCCAATTTAGCTGGCCTCAGCGCCTAGAATGAGAGCATTTCGTTATTTGGGAATGAAGGTCTATGAGCTGGAAATATCGACCGGATACTGGCAAAGGCAATTTCCAATGATTAAACTTATTCAAGAGGCAAAGAACTAAAAGTTTGAACTAATCGTGTAAAGCAACACACATTCGTCATAATTCAATCAATTTATCTTTTTATTGCCCATTTAGCTGACATGAATGATCAATTGATTCGATGGAAGCAACAAATGGAAAGGTGGGAAAATGAATATATGGTTGATTGGCAATTGCATTTCGAGCAGTACAAAAAATATCAAGCATATCGCTATGCGGATTCGGATTTTGGGCAGTGTTAATTGATTCCTCGGACCAAAATTGCATCTATCTAATATGGATAGCAACCAATGTTTGTGAATAAAAGTAGATTTTTTTGCCTCAAAATTTTTTATTAGCTTTCTCCAATATGTCTGTTCAAATATTGTTAAATATTTTAATTAAAGATTATTATCCGCTCAAATTATTGCCTTCCATAGTTCCAGCCATAAAACCAGATGAATATTTTAAAATATTTGGAATCTCTGCTTGCACATTCCTTAAAAGTTTGTAACAGTTGACATTAATTTGATGATAAAATTGCCAAAACTAATTAACCAGCTATTGAAAAAGTGAATTTCTTGGCAAAATTTTGATAAAATTGTTCAATTTCATATATATTCATAAATTCAATTTATTTATTGGTTGAATTTAAAGTGAAAAAACCAAAACTAAAATACTTTTTTTTTCTCCATAGAAATAACAAAGAACTATATCTATATAACCATTTTTTTCAAAATTATTGGCTACTATGCCATAAAATGGTGGTCGAAATCATATTAAGAATATATGGAATTATTAGGCGGGTTTTTTTACGTGCCTTACAATTTTTATAATATGCTAATAATTGAAATTTATTTTGTTAATTTCGATCTCAATGAATTTCGATGAATTATTTGTTATATGAAAGAGAGAGGATATCGAGTGGTATGGTTGTTATGATTCGCTTTGAGCATCATAGGCTCAATTCCTTGCCCCTGGCAGAAATTCTGGTGCTGCCGACTCATCTGCATTTCTATCGCTAAGTGATTTTAGTTATATATAATTTGTAAATTTATTGTTATTTTTTATATTTTATTATTATTATTTGTATTTTTTTTTTCAATGATTCGCATTGTTTACTAAAGTTTTAATATATTCACCAAGTTCTTTCACAAAAATTTAACCTCTTTTCATTAAAATTTCGATATCATCTAAATTCCCTTTTTTGGACCTTAAAAATTTTGATATCTTGTTTTCGAAATTGTGTTCCAAAATGATAAATAGCATGCATAAAATCAAAATAAATGAGAAAATTTAGTACAAAAGAATGATCAAGGATAGAAAGAATTTTGCTTTAGTTTTTGTCATAGTTATTGTCGGCTGTCAGTATTGCTCTTAGGATTCTCTCGGTTCATTATGTCGGTTCGCTTGTGTTTAAACATGAGTAGTTAAACCTTTATTTGTTAGCAACAAAAATAAGATAACGTCGCTTAAGATACTAATACAAGCACAGTATCAGAATCACAAATTATATGATAATTAAATCCAATTTATCGTTGCATTACTTTTTTGATTGATCATTACTTTTTTTCGAAGTAATTTTTTAATTCAATTTTTAAAGTCAATTTTTTAATTCTTAAATAATTAGATAAATCAATTGGTTATCGCTTATCAAATTTTTTCATCACGTATTATCTCTTATTTATTATTATTATATCCATACTTTTATTATAAGATTGATAAAAGTTAGTAACAACGGTACTTAAAAAATCCGAAAAAGATCTCGGTACCAGGGCATCGAAATACTACATAATAGGGTTGTTCAAGATGACTGTAGAAAGCCTAAAATTAGAGCTGGTTTTTATCATTAAAGCCACGAGAAGCAGGAAGAGTTTGTGAAACAAGAATATTCATTCCAACATAACAAAAAGAAGATTTCTGTGGCAGGTATTTACGCAGAAACAGTCGATTCAAACACGACTATACTTGTTGCAAATGTTAATATGTAAATATTTAAATATGCTATCCTGGCTAATTCTGAATATTAGGCATTATTTTGATCGCACCAACCGAATAAATTATTTCACTCCTTCGACAAAAAACTGAATCAATAAACAAACTATGATGTGGTAGTTTTTTACTTTTTTTTAAATCAAAAGGCATTTTTTTCAATATTATTTTTCAATCTTCAAGATAGCAAAAAATATTTTTTGCATAAAGTTTCGATTCAGCGAAGCAAAAACTATTTAAAATTATTTAATATAAAGAATTTAAAACGATGGTATAATAAATAGTTCAGCTATGAAACAAATTTCACTGAATTCCGTGTCTTAGACTGATAAAAGATTTTTTTGAGCGATCATTTCAAAAAATATTCTCGATTTATTTTATTATTTTTCATTTCTGATAATAAATCAGCTAAGTCCTCTTAAACTTTCAATTTTTTTATAAACAACAATTAAGACAATTTATAAATTAAATCAATTAAATCAATAAAATTATAAAAATATATATTTTTGTCTTTTATATTTTTAAACTTAATTGTCGATTCTATTTTCTTTTAAACTTTTATTGTCCTTATCCTTTTATTGTCCTTGAAAGGGGTAAACCTGTCATGATATCAAAAGTTCGGGTGACTGCTGACTTCGGGCGAGGACGCAATTGTATCTCTATCCCTAAGTAACTCCACAGTGAAAGGGTCAGATCTCTCTGACACGACGTACGCATGATTCTTCTGATCCGGTTTTATACGCGATAAATATACGAAGCGGGAGTAATAATGATAAAATAATTCCGAAGTATAAGCATAGAATATACCCGATTGCTCAAAACCCATCGAGATGGGCAAGAACCTATCCAATAAGCGCTGCTAGGTGGCTATAGCTGCCTGGAAAATCAGAACGCTTATGGATTTGCAAGTTAAGCGGCCACTGTCCACACTCGTTCCAAATATCGCACAGATGTGGCTTGTTTGTCAGAGGTCCGTCTTCTTCATGTCAGCTCGTGAGTAATTATTAATTATTAAACCTGATATTGGCTACATCACTGTGGTAACTCCGGGCGAAATGGCGTAGCCATTGTCATGTCTGAAAAGGCTCGATCCGCTCCGACTGAGTGGAAGCCAGTAAATAACCGTATGGCCTACACGCGTTTCAAAGGAAAGTTCTGCAATATTTCGATCATCAGTGTATATGCTCCAACTTTATGCGCATAGGACCACGATAAGGATAACTTCTTTGCGGAATTTCAACTATTAACGACATCTCTTCTGAGAGATGACATGGTTATAATCGGAGGAAACTGAAACTGTAGAAACTTATTGAAACTGCAGCAAGAATAGGATTGAGAGTTAATGTAAACAAAACGAAAGTCTTTTTGTCTTATGTGCAAGAAGCTAACAAAATGCCTCTTTTTGTAAATTCATTGCCGGTCGAGGAAATGTCCGATTTAAATATCTTGGGTCCACTCTAACACCAAATGGCTAGGCAAACACGATTTATAGCCCGAATCACGGCAGCTAAAAATGTTCTTTCGGTTGACGAAACCTTTATGGAGCCGTCGTGAAATTACCATTAAAACAAAAGTCTGCACCTAAATAACGTGATCCGTTCGATCTTGCTATATGGTTCTGAGACATGGCCAATGAGAGTGGAGGATATTAAGAAGTTATCTGTTGACCACTCTTATCTAAGGTATATTTTACGGGTGTGTCGAGCGGATAAATATCACATGGTCCTATCCATCTTCATTCAAATAACACTTGCATTAACAATGTTATCACAGAGCATCGCCTTCGGTGGTTAGGGTACGTTCTCTGTCGTCCACCAAAAGAGTTGTCGCATATTTCGTTATTTGCTAAATCGTGTGATGGTTGGCGTCGAAAGCGAGGTGGGCCAATCAAAATCTGGACTGATACGGTCAGGAAAGATTTTAAACGTATAGGTGGGCCAGCAATATATGGATTTGGACGATGGAATGGCTTCCATTACTGTCGACGATGGCATCAGACCGCGCCGCTTGAAAGTGTCTTACTCTTATAGCCGTTGGAGCCAGTCTAACCAATATTGGTGAGAGCTGTTAAAAGAAAAAGAAGGAAGAGATTGGAATGTGCGCGCAGGTCATGATGAATTCGGTAATTGGTAAATATAGCATCATGGTCCAGTGCTTCAATGGAGAACGTTTTGCCAAAGACCATGAACTCTATTATTAATATATACTTTCGGCATCGGAAAAAGATATCTGGCCACGTGAAGCTCTCCGGATAACCAATATTCCAACTAGATTGACTATATATTGCTCAGTCACCGCTCTAAATTCTTATGGAATAGATGGCATTTACAGTTGGGTAGTTTAAGGGCAGATGTGTCTACTACGCTGCTTTTGCTACTTTTTTCTTTCACTGTTTCTGCTATCCTTTTGACCAATCATTTGATACTCTGCTTACATTTTTTTAGGCACCTTCATAACGACGCAGTAATGAAGAAAAAATTTGCGTGTTGCAGCAAACCATATAAAATGATAAAATCCATAAATTCATAATTTTTTAACTCGAATTGAATGCCCAAGGTTGTAGATAAGAACTACAAAAATAACAAAAAACAGCGTTGCACAAAGAAAGAATAATCGCTATTAAAATCACAGCGATACGCCATTCTTCAATCGAATAATGAGGTACCAAGAAATTTACAACAAATGGTATAAGAATCTTACCAACACATAATAATAGCTAAAAAATTAATTTATTTTTGAAGTAAATCATAAAAAAATCTTCAAATTATGTATAAAATTTAGTTATTTGAATTGCAATCTAAAAAATTAAATAATTTTTTCGCTAATATTCACGCTTCACAAAAATTTCATTTTTGAAATTTTATGTGAGAACTGTTATCTAATATTTAAACGCTTATTAACTGCTACAATTTTTAGAAAAGCTTAAAAATTTCAAAAAAACTAAATACCCACTTGGATAATAGCCATAATTTCTTGAGCAAAATATCCTGCAATTAATCTAGCACTTTTCATTGGACCGCAAGCTGTCATGCCAATAAAACTAATACTCGCCGTGAAGCAAAATATTGCTATACTCGAATCATCTTTAGATAGAAATCCTAAAGGCAGTATAAAGAGGCCGCATCCAACCATTCCAATTGTACTAAATATTTGAAGCTTTTTTTTTTCCTACAAGATTGCAAAATAAATAAGAAAAAAATTCTTATTCTATTACCATTAGTAGGGTTTTCTCAATCATAAAACTTTTACTAGTCAGAATCAGGTAATTAATTATAATTGTTTTCATATTTTTGATTAGAAATTTAAGCTTGTCTTTTGATAAGAATTTGATAGTGAAATGGCTGAATGGCATATATAACCCATATTTTAATTTTTGTAAAGGTTTACTCCAGTTTAGAGGACAAAAAACAGTATGTAAGATGGTGTGACTGTGACATTAGTCGATTGTTTCATTCCTTCCTTACTTGTTTTCAATAGATGCACAAATATTAAAGGAATAATAACGACAAAAATTATAAAGAATGAGCAAATTACATTTATAAACGTAATTCGATCTGATAATATACCCGCTAAAATCTTTATAAAAAATTCAACCAATGGTGGTACCATAGTTGATAAGGCAGTTCGTTCAAACGATATTTCTAAGCCCATATTGAAGTAAAGTGGCATGAATCTAAAAAAATATATATTAGAATATTAACAAAAATTATGGAAGAAAGATGAAGTAATTAGCTGAGTAAAGCAATTACTCTATCAGGAATTACCACGCAAAAAAACCATAAACAACTTAATCCAATAAAGAATTTAAAATTATTGGAGAATCGAGACCATTAAAAACCATAAGCGATTTGCAATTTTTTTAGGATAAGAAGAAAAACGAATAAGATAAGAAGTGGTAATAACAACGACTGCATTTACTGTGCTGTAAATTGGAATCCAAAAGGGATTCCCAAATATGCAATCCACACGCCCCAAACTGGTTTGCTTTTAAATATGTCATAATACGGTATCGTTTGTATTTTATTTGATCTACTATCAGCTGAAATTACTTTTTAAAATTAAGGAACAATTAGAAATATAAAAAAAGTACAAAAAAATGTTTAAAAACTAAAGTATTTCAAAAAAGTTTTCAAAAATCCATGGTAATTCCTCCTTTTATTCTCTTAAGAATATTTTATTTTACCTTGTTAACGCTTGATTTTACAAACTGAACCACTATAAATATTGGAGGTGCTTGAATTAATGAAATTTTCTTTGGTTACATAATTTATTTCCTTGCATTTCCTGTATTTTTATATTTCAGGGTATTTATTTCTTTGCATGGTACTACATGGCTTCTCAATATTTAATTATTCGAAACTGAAACCTCTTTTAGAAATCAAGTTAATTTCTCTTCGTGTTATTAATGGATGATCTTCCGGACTATTTCGATAGAATAATGCAAATATCAGTGCTGATAAAGTTGACAGTATGGAATGAAAAATGAATGTATAAGGCCAACCGAAAAATATACATGAATAACCTGATAAAAAATTCGAAAAGATATGAGATAATTGAGCTGAAGACAAGAGGACCGTTATGAAAATACCTAAAAATTGTACAGTTACGTTTAATTAAAAATTGTTTTTAAAATCCTTAAATTCTTTAAAAATAAAGATGAAAGCCATAAATATTGCATCATTTCAAAGTCCACATTCAATTTACTAAAAATTTTCGAGCAATCTTTAATAACAAAGGGCGATTCACCAAGTTCAGATTCAGGAGCCCAACTAGATGAAAGGCATCCTACGATGGGCGATGATGATGCGAATGCCATACCTAAAATAAATGTTAAATATTTTTTGCAAGCAATTAAATGAATATTATATTTGTCAGAAAAGAATGATAAAATAAACAAAGATAAAATTTTACCTTGTATCATTCTTATAAGAATAATCAAATGTGCTTCTGTCTTTGCAGCTAATGGTATTAAAGCTGTTGAAAATGATGATAAAAATATTAACGTTGAAAATATAATGCGTCCACCGCAACGGCGAAGTGCAATTGATAAAGGTAAAACAAATATAAATCCACCCATCGCACTACTTGCGAATATCGTACTTATTAAGTGTGGCGAAAGATCGACCTTTTCTCCCTTCAGATAAATAGCATTAAAAATATTTAAATATTATTAAAAAAATTTTGTTATATAAAAATATATATGAAAGTGATTAAAAGCATAAAAAGCCTCAATAAAAAATTAAGAATCAATAATCAGGCTTTTCACACCATAATTTGATGAAATCGTGCTCACCATGCGGTACCACGTGCAGCTTGGTTTTCGACAATAAATCAATCAATATTATATTTAGTTTTCGGCAAGGTTAAATGAAGCACCATACACTAGCTTATAGTGAAGATAAAATAGATAAAGTTAGATAAAAATTCGAATTTTTAGATGAGGTAAAAAAAAAATTTCGTTAGCAAAAACGAATTCATTTGTTAGAACTTTGTACGAAACTAATCTATTGATGCAATTAGACAGCAGATTTTTAATTCACTTCATTTCTTATTTAAAGCTGACAATATAAAGATTTGAAAAAATTCCTTCTTAACCGTATTCATTTTTCTACTTCATAAACTGAATTTCATAAAGAAGTAACCGATAAAAAACATGAAAATGAACAAACATGAGAAGTTGAATTCGATATCATACAGAGAACTGCTAAATTAAAAATCATTTCATTGGCTTTAACAGTAGTCATAGCAAATAATGTAACCAAAAGTATTGAAAATCGGACTCCCAATATCGAAAATTTCGCTTTTTGGCCCAAATTTGCATCTGATTTTTCGACCTCATTTAAATCATTTTCATTCCCTGCATGTTCGCGTTTTAATCTATTCTTATTCATTCTAGAACGATGTATTCAGATGCTAAAATATAGTTTGTTGTAATAATATTAATTATAAAACTACGCGAAAATGAACGTTACAATAGCAAAATGCTACTAATGATCATTAATAATAATGATAATGATAATGATAATAATGACAATAATAATTAATAATAATGGTAATAGTAATAATAGTAATAAATAGCAATAATAAAAATAACGTGATAAAGACAATAACTTGCTCTCTTGATTTATGACCTGAAAACCGAAAAAAAATCTGTTTATTTTGGTTTTCACTTTTTTTTAAGAGTCCTCATCATTAAACTCACTCCACTGGGCAGTATACCAGGGAGTTCCTTGGCGATAGAAATAGATGAGTCGCTAGCATCACTCGGATTTTCGTACAGGTTTACTCTTGTGAGGAATCGAGCCTCAGCATCGGCGTTCCCAATTGAGCAATTCTCAATTGAGCAACAACCCAATGAGCCATTCTCTCCCCATTTCGCTTTTCATACCATAAATAAATTTGAAATTTAAAGAATCAGTTACAACCTGATAATCGTACAACAAAATTTTTCGCAAAAAATTTGTTCCTTAGCATTTTTTAGTTATTTATTATTATTTCTTCTACAGAATTATGATTTTAATGGAATATTAATTTGGAAACTTCAATGGAAACTTCATTTTAAAAAAAAAGAACCACTAGCGGACAAGGAAAACGAGTTTGGAAAAAGAAATTACTAAGAAAAATAATTGCATAAACAACTAAACGATGCAGAAGTGTTTTGATACAATATTTTTCAAAAAAATATCTACAAAAAGTTTGGAAAATTGGAAAAGAATTCGCAAAATAAAAATTAGGCTTATCTGGATTTTTCGATGGAAAAAGCAATGTAAAAATGTGAATCAATGAATGCTAAAAATTCGATTTAGTTAGCATTTGAATATTTTTTTTGAATATTAATTTTGCTCTTTTAAGTGTTATTTCCAATTATTTCAATTTTTAACGTTTGTCTGAATTATAATTTATTGCGATAAGGGATTACCGCGTGCACAATCGATCGATTAAAACCAAGCCACTAGCAAGTTCGAAACTTTTTAAATATCTTAGGTCCACTACAATCTCAAATGGCCTCAGAGGAGGAAATTATAAATCTGGACAACGATAGCTAGAAATGCCTTCTTTGGGTCGAGGTCGACGAAACCTTTATGGAGCCGTCGCGAAATCACCATAAAGTCCACGTCCACACAACTGCAATTCGCTCGATCTTGCTACATGGCTGCGAAGTATGGCTGATGAGAGTGGAAGATATTAATAAGCTATTTAATAAGCTATAAGCCTTTGGCCACTCATATCTAAGATACATTTTGTGGTTCCATCGAGCGGATAAAATCGCATATGATTGTATCTATCTTCGCTCAAAATCTCTTGCATTAACAGTACCATCCCAAAGGATCGTCTTCATTAGGTAGGACACATTCTTCGTGCACCACAAGGGTTGACACGTATTTCGTTACTTGCTAAAACCTATGATAGGTACCATCAAAAGCGAGGTGGGCCAATCAAGATCTGGTCTGGTGCAGTCATGAAAGATTTTTAGTGTATAGGAGGACTAGCGATATATGGACTTAGACAATGGAAAAAGGAATGGTTTCTATTGCTATCGCCGATGGCATCAGATCGAGCAACTTGGAAAGGTCTTATTGTTTTAGCTAGCGGAGCCAGTACAGTGGTGTTTGACGAAAAAAGAGTCCACAACTAATTCAATTAAAATGAAGTTCTGTCTAGGAAAATATTCCTATTCCCAATAAATTTTTAAAATAAATTTTCATTTGAAAAAATCAAGCTTTTACTTAGTGAATTACGCTTTCAATGACTGATCTTCTTTAAAATCTGAGCAGTGGTCGGGATATTCGTTTTCTTTAACATTTACCAACATTCATTATATAAATGTATTGTGTTGTAATACTGAGGATTAAGAGAAATTAAAATTTTTTTCATTTTTTAAAGAGCTTTTTTTAAAAGAATGGCTGGAAAATAGAATAGAAGGAAGGAGTGCAATAGAAGGAAGAAGACTTCTTCGTCCGGAAATTTACAGTCATCAATTATTTTCTTTTGTGTTTTTCAGAATATTAAGAAGATTCAACCATTTTTTTTTCATCGTTGTAATGCTAAGAATTTATGTTAAACACTTAAATATCATTCAAATCGAACAAAACATTGAGCATATGTGTTAAAATTGATGTTGATAATTAAAAATATAAGGCATGATTTTATTTTTCCAAAAGGTATTCAGGAATGAAAATTAAAGGATAACAATTCTTGAATAATTTTTGCATAAAATAACCCTTATATTCATAATTTTTAATAATTTAATTTCATAATTTTCTAACCTCAAACAATTACAGGTTAGACTTGTCCAATTGGTTAAGAGAGTAGGATTTTTCCAACACGTTCTATCTGGTGCCTTACTTACTTGAAAGTAACAAAATCTACTTCTTTTGCCATCGCCTTAACCTTTTAGCCCTAAAGTCTCTTTCGACTATGATGCTATGATGGACTTTGAAAGGTCTTACATACCAGCTCACCATTTTCGAGTTATGGTTGCTTTACATTGAAGATGAAAGATAAAACAATTTCTTATTACCACGAGTCTCCATATTCAAAGCCACATCTCCTTTCCGTTGCATTGTCGTTGCATTTCTTTGAAACAGTCTCCAGATCTCCTGATATATGTGCTCTGGCAGCTACAGTTGATTTGCGTGATACGTAACTTACGCATTTCTGAGCGGCATATCTCAGCGTGAATTCGACCAATCTTCAGAAATAGTTGGAGCATTCATTGCCCGAAAGACATTTGAATCATTGAGATGTTCAACAACTCGCCTTAAAATATCCGTTAATGTTCGGGCTTAAGATGGTCGGAAGATTTTGTCGGACCTAATTCTCTGCACATTTCAATTTCTGTAGGTCTTTGCTGGAAATATACCATAGTCTAGTCCATAGAAGTTGCCCGTTCAATGCCGTGGTAGTAATTTGGTAGACTACCCAAGGATATAATAAGTCAATCTGGAATTACTCTAGTTACTCGAAGAGTTCTTCGAGTAGTCTCTAGACCTCCTGATTCGATGCTGCAGAGAGTTTTATGTAATTTATTGTTTTCTCCTATGTTCAAAGCACGTATTGGTAGTAAAAATTTATTTCTCCTACAAAGCAAAGACGATCACATCGAATTCCCCTATATTCGATCATTCCAGCAGCCTCTGACTATGACCATTTTGTCTTTGAGGGAAAGTACTACTGGCAGTTCAATTTCCGCACAGAACTTATCTTTGCTGGGCATAATGTGGGAATAATTACATTGATGACCGTATTACAAAGCTTAAAAGTGAACTTGAAGCATTCGATCCTTAACCGGTTGTGTCGAGCTTTCCCAGACATTAAAATCGCTATAAAGGCGAAAGCAGGGTGGTTGAATTGACAGCGGTCAGACAATCTCGATGAGCTTGGGGAAAAAATTGCAAGTCATACCAACTGTGAGAGCAACATACCTAATCGGAAATGATGAATGCTAACCGCTTTACAAAAAGACTAAATAATTTCTATTTTAATTATCGCTAAATCAACAAATCAACTTAATACTTAATGACCCTATTGATATGGCTTGCAATTTGGTTAGATATTTACAGTTTATTAATTAATAAAAATATGGAGTTCATCACTGCACATTAATGAACCCTATGAAATTTTGCTACTATTTTTATGTAATTAAACAAAAAGATTGCATTTTCTCATTTTTTTCCTTCCATTATGGAGTTGCAGAATATTTTTAAAATTTATTAAAACGAATAGTAATGCAGTTCATTCTACGGACTGGCACAATCATTATCAAACACTGGCATATTTCCTCAGATCAGCTAAATTTCGTTTACGAATTTACTTCATCCTTTTAATTCTCTTCGCCTAGTCCAAACTTTCTCACCCATTTCAAACATAATCGTCACTGTAGTACTTTTTGCAGCCTTCTAATTATGGTAAGTGTGCTCATAGCAAAAAGGAAATAGAATGAGAATGTGGGTATCAAAAGGCTACAAATGGGTAAGTTAAGGAAATAGAAGGATGAAAATAGAATAAATAATAAATTGTGGCGACAACGACAATGTGCAATAAGGGCTATTAGGCGAATAATTAATATAGTTTGCGATAGATTTTCATGAAATATGGCGCTTTTTGGGAAGCAGTACAGCGGTGGTAGAGAATTTCTTATTTATTAGTATCTCTCATTTTTTTTATTTTTCTTGAATATTTTCTTTCATAGCCTTTTCCTTCTTTCGTCTGAATTTTTCAATTTTTTAGTTCCAATTATTTTATCGTTAATTATGCATTGTAAATTATATACGAGTAGTCGCGTTCCAAACGTTTTTAAAATTTTTGTTATGTATTTTGATTTTTATCGTAATTTTTTCAGTGGCTAATTATGATTCCCTAATTATCTCCACTATTACCTCCACTTTTTTAATGAGTATTACTGAATTGTTTTTTTTTGTTTTATTATTTGTTATTTTTTAATGCTAATTTATAATTGTGTAAATTTTTTATTATCCTAGTTGAATTAGCCAAGTTTGAGGTTAACAGACTGGTTTTGGCTGGAGTTCATATTGACAAATTTCGGAGAGAGAGAGAGAGAGAGAGAATGCCATAAGACTAATCCAATGAAATTGCTGTGGTATCGCTAGTCTATCAGTCGTAGCTGGCAACTTCATAAGTATCGAATAATGAAATTATTATCATTTTTACAGGTAGTTTAAGGAGAAATTAATATTAGTCACAAGAAAAGAAGTATGGTTTGTTAAAATGTTAAAACGAATTGAGAAGATGTATTTTATAATTATAAAAAATTCTTAAGAACATAGCAAACTATAAGGATGTCTAAGAGGTTAAAATCTTATAATGAAATTCGATGATATATTATCACTAATAATATATGACAAAAAAATACAACGAATTTTGTTGAGCCAGCAAGAGGACGCAATGAGATCACAAGATATGTTGAGGAGATATAGGATATCGGTTTTGGCAAAGTCGCAATGAGTTCTGAAAACTTATGCAGGGTCCAATATGTTATTAGGTTAATATGATAGATGTGATAGAGGGTGGCATTTAACAGATATCGAGAATTTTGACAAAATTTGTCTGATTTGTAGAAAAATAAGGGAGTTGTGAGAATAAATATATAAATTATATAGAATATTTTTAATTCATTTTTAACCTGAAATTCATCTTGATCGAATTTTCTAGACTGAATAAATTATAATGTATGAATATGAATAATCAACAAAAAATATTTTTTAATATTGTGAATGAAGAATTCATACGATATGAAATATTATAAGAATATTTAATATTGAATACTTCGGCATTTTTAATACTTCAGCATTTTTTTCGAAGGAAGGAATTATATTCGAATAAATAAATTTATTCAGTCTAGAAAATATAAATTGCAATATTCTTCAAAATCAAGAATATTATTTATTTATCATTATTAAAAATATAAAACTTAATTATTTAATAGTATATAATAGTACAGTATGTATTTTCAAGACTCACGATTTCTTGTTAGGTTAATTCCACTGTTAGTACGATGATAAATCAGTTGCCAATAGATGGGTCGGCACCATTCGCAGGAGCCAGAGTCGAAATTGCGAAATTACAGACGACAGAAAAAAACTCTACTATCCTAATTATTACTTAATAATATATAATTATTTATGAGTCAAAAATGAATTACTCATTGTGAAATTGGCCTTATTTTTATAGCGAGCATTTTTCCGAGAACGTTCCTCTTATTGGCTTCTTTTAGTTAGTAGTATAAGTGCCCTGCCTTTCTAGATTAAGGCAATCATATTTATTTGTCTATGCAAATTTGATGGAAAACTTTTGTTCTTGTCTGTTTCGTATAGTTTCTGTCCGATTGATTTTTTCAATGAATAATATTTTAATAAAGTTTTCGTTGAAATTAGTTAAATTATAATTTTAAAACTATACAAATTTCTTGCTGAATTGTATGTATAAGAATATTCTTTTAAGTTTTCAAACATTTTATCCTATAAATATTATAAATATGTTGCAAAAAAGGTTTGCAAAATACATGGAACCATTTTCATATGAAGTCCTATATGTTCAACAAGGCCAATTTTATTTCCTTGATTATATTAATTTGATGCTTATCATTTAGTGATCATGCCAGAGAATCATTTTCTTCTAATAGCACAGAGACTCTTATTCTTCTAATAGCTGACTGATTGTTCGAGCTATCAGCGCATGACCATAGAATTCTCTAAAATGAATTCATTTATATTTATTATTTGTATCTTAAGGAAATAAAGGCGAGACAAGATGTTATCAAAATTTTCTTGTTTAACAGAAGAACGAAATCAGGCAAAATTTTCTCCAAAATTATTGTCAGAGATTTTATACGGAAAAGAAGCCATCAAAAGACGAAGGAAAATTGCTGCTTTTGTTGAAAAAACTTCGGTATTACATGATCAAATACCAAAAGTATTTATGGATCGTATGGAAAGAATTGAAAATATTGCTAGGAAGGTGATTTTTGCTTTGGATTAGGAAAAATTAACTTTGCTTCTCATATTTATTTATTTATATCAGTCCATTTTAAAATTTTTCTTAATTATTTCGTTTCTTATTTTTTTCAGACCATATCGATGTATGAAAATATTGAAAAGCTTAATCTCAATTGGCAAGAAGATGATATGTTTTATTATCAGAGGTACTGATTTGTCGATAAATAAAAAATCATCCAGCCATTTTCTAGGTTGAATTCGCTATTATAAGAGGCAAATGATACCCAATGATACGTTCCGACTATGAGTTCAAGTACAATTATCTTGATAGGCGAAATTTCTTTCATTGAAAACATGGTTATGAAAAAATAATAAATAAAAATAATAAAATAATAATAAATAGAAAAAATAATAGAGTCCCATCTATGATGGCTAATCACCCATTTTTCTATCTCAGTTGATTCTTTGGCAAGAAGATTTCATCCTAATAGTCGCTAACTAAGCCAGAATATAAACTTTACTCATGATATTTTCTCTGAAATGCATGAGATAGTATGAAGTGACATTTTTACCAGGAGTAAATTAAGCTTTTTCAATATTGCCAATATTGCCGAAGTTCGACAAAGTAAATAAAGTTTAAACTATATTGATAAGTCGGTAGAAGAAGAAGAAAACTAAAGGTTAAGAAATCGCATTAGAGATTAAAGAGTTAGCTTTCCTTATCACGATTCAATCTTGCAAACTTTAACTGCTAATTGAATATAAATGAAATCTTAAGATTGATAATGGGCAATGACATTCATCCATTCCACATACATGAAACTGTGTTTACACCTTCATTAATGTTACAATGTGATGATGAGCAAAAAAATATCTGGTTCAAAAGAGCGTTAAATCGAGAAATCCTTGGAACTTATGCACAAACTGAAATAGGACATGGTCAGCCTACGATTCGCATTTAGTGCTTGAGGTTAGTTTTATTAATTGTTTGGATTTTCAAAAAGAATTTTTAGGTAATAACCTTCGCGGATTGGAAACAGTTGCCATTTACAATAAGAATAGTGATGAAATTATTGTTAATTCGCCTACTATAACATCATATAAGTGGTAAATTCTGTAATATTCATATTTAATTTATTTTTTTATTTATTTTCATTAATTTATTTTTATTTATTCATTAAATTGACAAAAATATTGAAGAAATTTTCCTAGAAGATTTATTTTTATTATTTCAGAAAAATACCTTCTCAGTCTGGAAATATTCTCTTTAACTGATAAATAATGAAGGAAGAAATAGTTTTTTAGCTACTTACAGGTTTATAGGCAATGCAGGAATATTTGCAAACTATGCAATAGTCGTCGCAAAATTAATTATAAATGATGAAAATATGGGTTTGCAAAATTTTATTGTACAACTCAGAGATGAAATAACACATAAACCGATGCATGGTTCTAGTTTATTTCAAAAATTCTAATTCGTTCAATTTTATAAGTTGAAATTATCTTCAACGCCCAGCATACCCTTTGTTATATCCGCAAAACTCGATATATTTCTTTAACGCTTCTTCGAAGCGTGCTTTACTATTTCTATGCTATATGTATCAATACTATATTTCTATACTATATGTATATATACTATATGTATCAATGATTTCTAAATACTCCCCTCTTCCCAGCTACTCTTTCGAAATCCCTAATTATTTTACAATGCCTGCAAAGATGAGTAGCGCATAGCGCATTACATAGGGCATTAAGGAGGCAAAGCGATGATTTAAAACTAAGGTTCACTTTGAAAAAATCGATGAACTTACTATTCTATTCGCATAAAAATTGCACATTTCTTTGAAAATCATAAAATTTCTAAGTTAAACTTAAAGGAATAACTATTGGTGATATTGGTCCTAAATTTGGTATGAATTCTAATGATAACGGATTCATAAAGTTCGATAATGTAAGGATACCTCGAAGACAAATGTTAATGGCATTCACGAAGGTTATGCAGTACAAAGCTCATTTATTATTTGTTTATAGAGATCTCTTCTCATTGCTTTTCCTTCAATGCCTTTACATGCCACTGAGTTTTTAGTTTTCTTTGATGATAAAATAAAGTAATTAACCGCATTTCAGCTAACTGAATATGGTGAACTAATAAAACCAATGCATGAAAAACTTGGATATATAAGCATGGTTCGTGTACGATCCATGATGACGCAACAGCAGGCATTTATGTTGGCTAAAGCTTGTACTATAGCTGTAAGATATTCCTGCATCAGAAAACAGGGAGAAATCATGCAAAAGCTAGTTTATTTCAAAATTTACAAAGTAGAATCTTAATATTTAGCATTTTCTTCTAACCTTTCCCTACTGTTTCTGCATCGCGTAATTAAATCTATTAATAAACTGGGTCGGAAATAAAGCGGGGTGTTCGAATTATTTCGATGTAGATGATTTTTTATGTAGACTTTTTCGATGTAAATGACTTTTTTGGGGCATCATATTTATTCTTCGCTTTATTTCGAAAATTATTTGGATGATTAATTTTTCTTACACTTTTTGTCCATTTTCTAGAATATTTAAAAAAGGTGTATGCCAGAAAACCTCGTATAGTGATCAAGAAGTTTTAAATTTTAGTAAAGGCGAGGTAAAATTGATTGATTATCAACTACAACAATACCGTATACTGCCACAACTCGCAAATGCATTTGTCTTCTGGTTTGCTGCCAAAAAAATTCGTCAGACTTATCAAAACATGCAAAATGATATTGTTAATGGAAAAGTAAGGCAAAAAAATAATAAATTTGCAAATACAAAGGTATTGATTGCAAAAATACAATAATTTGAGTAAAACAAAGTACGAAAGTTTCATAAATTGACAAATATGAATTACTTCAATGATGAAGAATCATTTAACAAATTAGATTTTGATCACTGTAGAAAAAAATTTATTCTACTCTGGCGACCTGTTTTATATTCATATATTACAAAACTCTAGCAAAATACTAAATGTGAGTTAAATGTTAACAGTAGAAATTCTATGTCTCTATTGATCTTTTCTCTTTGCTTGTAAACTGGTGATAATCTTGGCTCGTACGAGTATTTTTATTCCAAACGTATTCTAGTTAAGCGTCTAATAATGAAACTATTGGGACCAAAAATGGAGAACGAGGTGGATGATGAAGAAAAAATAACTCAAAAATTGTAGATCGATTCATTAAATGAGTTACACTCTCTTTCAAGCGGACTGAAAGCTCTGATAACGGAAGAAGTTGGTAGAGGTATTGAATCTTGTCGCTTATGCTGTGGTGCGAACGGTTATTCGCATTTAAGTGGTCTTCCCGAGCTTTATACTACAGCTATAGCTGGTAACACATATGAAGGTGACAATACCGTATTGCTGCTACAGTTAGCGAGGTTAGCGCGATTATTCTTCAGCACAATTCCTATGAATTCCTTGGTCCATTTTAAATTGATAGCAAAAAAGTATGTCGCGATGAAAAGCAGCAGAAAAAAATAAATAAAGTAAGGTAAAGCAAATGGATAGGAAAAGTGTATTTACCTAATATATACTTAAAAAAATAATAAAATTAAAATCACCACTATTTATGAAAGTGTGCCGTAATCGCCTCGATAATTTCAAAATCCGTCACAAAAACGGTGTTTTTAACGGTTATACATATTACAACACAGGTCAATAATTATAATTATTTCAATATTTTCATATATTTTTTGAATAAATGGGACTTTTTTATTGAAATAATTAAAAATGAAATCAACTGCAATTTGTTCACTCATAAAGAGCAATGAACTGGCTATGGTTTCGAAAAATGAAAATTTACATTCTCTTAATGTCGGATTTTTTTTCTTATTAATTGTGACCATTTTAAATAATTCTGATAAACAATTTCGATAAATTTTAGTTAATTCTTAAGAATAATTCACAATTTTTAAGAATTTATTTCAGATTTTTGTTAAAATTTGCGACGATAATACATAAAGGTGAGCAAAAAAGTATTTCATCATCGATGTATTATCTTACAGTAGAGACGATTCCTAAATGGCTGACAATTGAAGAATTAATGGACAATAAGTACGCAATAACTTTAGCAGTGTTCAGTTTTACAACACGTTTTCTCATATTCAGGTAAACCTACCAAGAATTTACCAATTAACGAGCATATCGAATTTATCAATAAATATTTATGTTGAAATATTTATGTAAAAAGAGATTAGCATCACTTCTGGCAAAAACTTTGCTTAACACATTTAGAAATTTTCGTCAGAGAGTTATCCAAGATCGATAGAATTATAGAATTATAAATAATTATAGGTGGTTGACAGCACTACTTGAATTCCTCAATGATAGATCTGTCTGCCATAGGCAAGAGCCAAATGCTTACCTCCTAGTATGATAATATGATAATCTGAATCACCATCGCAAATTCCCTTATAATGCCTTAGGAAAAAGCCACGTCTCTTCTCTGACTTTAATTCGGGTATTTGCCACTCTCGATTTACTGTACGAACACGAAGAACGGCAGTTTATTCAGTGCCTTAAATTCGAGTGATTAAGCAAATAATTTAAATAGTGAAAATTTCAGCGGTTTGTAACGGTAGATAATAATAACAATAATGGCAATAATAAAATACTTAAATTATATGAACTCAAATGAGCAATATAACAATAAATTAATGATGATTTTTTCGCCATTTAAATTTTTTAAACAATTAATTTACACTTACACCATTAGAGAGTGATAAATAAATAAAATCTCGAGGTAGAAACACAAAATTCTGCTGTGCTCGCGGAAGGTAAGGGCTGCTAATTATTAAATCATTTAATGGCGCCCGAGGCATTCATTGTAAATTCACAAATCGAATTTCTAATTTAAAAAAAGTGGATAAGTTGATTACCATTGGTTTATTTATTATAAGCTATACTTGTGCGGTATAAAACTAATTATCTATTCGCATTATACGATTTAGAGTTTATAAGAAACTAGAAAATCTTCAAAGTTCGAGAGAATTATTCGGCGAAGCTTGGAATAATAATGCTATTGAGTTATGTCAAGTAAGTTCATTTATATCATATTGATAGTATTTATTTTCAACTAAATCCTATAAATTTATGTTAGAAATATATGGATGATTACTAAGCTGATAAAATTTAAGCCAAAATTCGCGTCTCTAAATGGAGAAGTTGATGAGATATTGAATAATAATGATGGATATGTTGATAAATGCAAAATGCAAATAATTCGTAATTTTTTAATGATTTATTCTAAGGCATCTCGATTGCATGTTAAAGTTTATTTACTTTTGAATATGATAAACTGCATATCAGAAATTGAAGATAAACAAGTTTTCGAAGCAATGAGTGACATCTTGAAATTATTTATTCTTCATGAATTGATTTCAATTCCATCATATATTGAGGTAAATTTCACTTAAAATTTTAAATTAGATTTTGTCATTTGATCAGTATTAAAAGAATTTTAATTAGCTTAATAAAACAGTATATTGTTCGACTGAGACCGTGGGTTCAATTTTTCTCTTAGCAGAATTTTAGCCTATAATTATAAGACAAATCCGAGTGGTACAGATGAGGACAAGTATTTCCAATTGCTACTCTCTGGATTGAACCAGAAATCGTGTGCACTTCATAGCAATGATTAAAGGAAATTTTAGTAACCAAATCTAGAAAATAGTGGTTTGTTAGCTTAGCCGACCAGCTTTATCAATTTTTCTTTGTAAAACATGGTATTTCCAAATTATTTTTGTTTGTTAATAATATTCATTTTTTTACTTTTAGAGTGGTTGCATAAATGTCGAGCAATTAAATTTAATTCGATCCGAATTCTATAAAATGCTGAAAAAAGTTAGAAGAAATGCCATCGCATTAACCGATTCGTTTGATATAAATGACCGTGAAATCAATTCTCTTATTGCAACGAATAATGAAAATATTTACAAAAATATTCTCCAGTGGACGAATTACTCCCAGTTAAATAATAAAGTTCGTATTTCAGTTGAATTAATTGAGCATATTTCCATAAATCTTAACAGTGATAAAATTTCCTATAGTCTTAGACACCCTTTTATTTTTTACCTAAAACATCGAGCATTTCTGTTTTGACTAACTCGATTGACTGCTAAGATCCTTTCGATATAGAATTATTCCTCTGAGAAAAAAAATATAGGTGAATTTCCAGCACTACCTAAATTTCTCTTTCATTAATTTTCCTCTCATCGAAGCACCATTCAACTATAGAATTACTTCTCGAAGGATGATGATTATTGTTGCCCAGCTATACTTTTTTCAAACTTTAGGAGCAACCAGCATTTGAAAAATTTATCAAATCATTTCTGGCGAAACAAGCTGCTAAGAGCAAGAGCAAAGATGCATCTTAGATCATCGACCATTTGAAGCAAAAGTGAAAAATGGTCCTCATCTAAGTTGACTTTTACCTAAGCAAAAAAACCTAAGTTTTTTAAAAATTAAATTTTTTCATATAAATTGTAATTGTATAGCCTAAACTGAACGTCAAAACAGCTAAAATCAATATTTTAATATTTCATTTTATGTTTAAGAATTTTTTTCGAATTTTAATATTCCATTGTTATAATATATAAACTATCTACAAATCTACTAATTAATGGATCGTATAGATAGATTTATTATTATAATTATTATTATTATAATATTATAATATTATAATATAACAAATTAATCAAACAAAAGCAATGCTAAAAAATTGGTAACAAATAGTGATAAATAACAACAAATAATAACAATAATAAATTATAATAATGGATAACAGAAAAAATAATATTATTGCTATAATAATGATTATAATTAAAAAGTAAAAAATAATGGTAAATAAATAGTAAATATATAAATAATAAATATAAATATATAATATAAAATAGATCGTAAAAAATAATAATAAAAATATTGATAACAATAAAAATTTCTGGACTTTCAATGCTATATTTAATAATAATAACAATGCTATATTTCATAAAAAATTTAAAACGAAAGTTTTTTATAGAATTTAGAAGACTTTGTGCAATGTTAAAACTATCTATACGATCCATTTGCATTTATAAATTAATTATTTTGGTTATTTTAATCTTATTTATTTTGGCCATTTTATTTATTTAATAATGCAATATATTTACTAAGGAATTATTTCATAAAAACGAGTCATATATGAACATTTATGAGCGAAAAATTAATGCTTTTTTTTCTAGAATCATATATTTTCTTCTTTTTCCTTTTTTCTTTCTTTTTCTAAAAGCATTCACCATTTCTGGTTTTACTGATGACGAAGAAGAAATCCCTTAGCGCTAATTAGTTGAGAAAGAGATGCATTCCTCTCCCCCTTCCCCTCCCTACTTCATTTTTAATTACTCCCTTCAAGGCAATACTATCTTAACGAAAATAATAAAACAATCAACCAATATATATAATATTTTTTTATTCTATTTTTTATTTTCAAAATTTAATATTTGGAATTTGAATAAAATGAATACAATACCAGCCAAAAGATTATTACAGTGCATCTTAATAGAAAAGCCCTTCATCATACTTTGACTATAAAAATCATATAAACCATTTTTAACAATCTTATTTCTATAATATTACTTCTAAATGATTTAGCTGCTACACCTTTATGCCATTAGTTCTGCCTGGAAAATGTTCGTCTGATTTAAAACTAAAGCAATTCAGCATCGTTTATTAAGAAAATATCAAAGCAAGAAAATTTCTGAAGGTATCGCAGCATATTCAAATCTTTAAGATATTAGCTCTCTAGAAGTTTCCAATCCCATGAGTATAGGAACTAAAACTGCCTTACATTATTGCAGAATATAACTATTCTTAGGCTTTGAAACTGTGGATTCTCTTAATTATTATAATTCATGGTTTAATTGTCTGGGTGCGATTGAAGGTATCTCAATAAGATAGTTCTTGGTTGGCTGCTTTGTGGGCAATATATCTAAGAATGAGATTAGATTAGCCATTTTTGCCGCAAAACACTGAGCCATCCACTTAATTCCCGTTCTTCATTTTTTTTGGATCTCATATATCTCTCTTATGTGGTTCAATTAGCCTGTATCCCAATATGAATGATTTTTCTCTTCCAATATTTTTACAGCCACAGGCGATTCTGCTTCGGTCTTAGTGGGTAAATACTCTTTTCGGATTATTCTGATATCTTGCATCCTTGTTTCGAGTTCCCTCATCTCCTCGCGCAGTTCAGTAATGCTGATGATATTTCCATATATCTTTTTCATCCACAGGTATATGAATCTATCAATTAGAAATCCACTAATCCTTTGGCCTCAAGGCACGACATCAAGTGTTTGAATTTGAGCAAATCGAGGTTTCGATTTTCTATGGTTAACAAAAAAATAACTTTGACGATAGTTTAGCTAATTGGTGTATGATTGAAGTAGGTATCGTCTTCTTTTTCTAACTCTAACTATTATTGCTAACTTCATTGGCTCCATTAGCTACAAGAGTAAGATGTTAAAAAAAAACTAAACTGCGAAAATTAAATGAGCTAACGATATTTTGTGACGCAAAAATTGACAAAAATAGTCCGAAAAAGTTGCAGAATATTTCAAAATATATGAAATGAATAAATGAAAATATATGAAAATATATGAAATGAATGTAAAATTTATAAATCTTTTCTGACCATATCAGTCCAGGTCTTGATTGCCCCATCTCGCTTTTGACACCACCCATCACAGGTCTTAACAAGTAATAAAATATATGTCAATTTTTGTGGTGAGCGACGAAGAACATGTTCTAACCAGCGAAGGTGATGCTTTACGATGGTGCTGTTAATGCAAGTGGTATTTGAAAGAAGGTGGATGCGATCATATTAAATTTTATCTGTCCATTCGTCGAACCCGTAAAATGTATCTTGGATGTGAGAAGTTAGATAATTTTTAATATTCTCTTAATATTCTCCACTCTTATCGGCCATGCCTTGCAACCATATGAAGATCGAACGAATAGCGGCTATATAGACACGGAATTTATAGTGATCCCGCGACGACTCCATAAAGGTTTCGTCAACCGGAAGGACGCATTTTTAGCTGTTGTTATCCGAGTTGTAATTTCGTCTTTGCCTGGCCATTTGGTATTGGAGTGGATCCAGATTTAAAATCGAGCAATAAGTTTATAAAAAGAGGCATTTTATCAGTTTCTTGTACATAAGACGAAGTGTTGTCAAGGCAGATTCGAAATAAGAACAGATGTCCGTCAGGGCTGTGTGCTTTCGCCACACTATTCAACTATGCGATAGACTGGATAATGGACACTGCTTATCGGTACTCAAGAGGTGTCCGAATTAGTCCAGAGCATCGTATCACAGATCTTGAATACGCTCATGATGTAGTCCTTTTGCTGACAGTTGTAACGAAATGCAAGTAATACTAAATAACGTGTCAGAAACTGCAGTAAGAATCGGACTCAGGATCAATGTAAATAAAATGAAAGTTGAAAGTCTTTTCGTCTTATGTGCAAGAAGCTGATAAAATGCCTCTTTTTGTAAATTTATTGCCGGTTGAGGAAGTGGCTGATTTCAAATACCTTGTCACTCTAATACCAAATGGACAGGCAAAAGATGATATTATAACTCGGATCACGGCAGCTAGAAATGCGTTCTTCCGATTGACGAAAGCTTTATGGAATCGTCTTGAAATCACTATAAAAACGAAAGTCCGCATCTATATTGCCGTGATCCGTTCGATCTTATTATATGGTTCTGAGATATGGCCAATGAGAGTGGAGGATATTAAGAAGTTATCTGCCTTTGACCACTCTTGTCTAAGGTATATTTTATGGGTACGCCGAGTGGATAAATATCACATGGTTCTATCCATCTTCATTCAAATAACACTTGCATTAACAATGTTATCACAGAGCGTCGCCTTCGGTGGTTAGGGCACGTTCTCTGTCGTCCACCAAAAGAGTTGTCGCATATTTCGTTATTTACTAAACCGTCTGATGGTTGGCGTCGAAAGAGAGGTGGGCCAATCAAGACCTGGACTGAAACGGTGAGAAAAGATTTTGAACGTATGGGTGGACCAGCAATATATGGACTTAGATGATGGAAAAAGGAATGGCTTCCATTATTATCAACGATGGCACTGGACCGCGCCGCTTGGAAGCGTCTTACCCTTGTAGCCGTTGGAGCCAGCCTAACCAGTAATGGTGAGAGCTGTTAGAAGAAGAAGAAGAAGAAGTTTTGTCCAGGCAAATTTCAACTATTCGTCGCATTAGGAGAATGCAGCTCTGCGAAAAAATATTTTCCCCGCTCAGAAGACCACAAGGCAACTATATGAATACGAAAAGCATAATATAGCACATAATGGCAGTACCATAACATAAAACCATAAAAATATGTCAGACGAAAAATAATGAGGCATTCCCATTTCTGCAATGAGATTATGATCAACCCTTTGGTACTGGCAATTATAACTTGTAATTGCATCGAAAAGCAAAATACGATCTATTATACAAAGGTTACCATGAGGCAGTTGACAACACAATTAAAGCATGTGCAATATAGAATTTAGGCGAACAAGTGGTGGACCTTTTGAAATTTTGAAATTGGAGAACTTTTGCCATTTACCACGAATGTCACCAAGCACGCAACAAGCAAACAAACGAGAAATTTAAAGAACATAAGGATGCTTAAATGAACACAAAATAGTACAGGAAAGAGAATCGCCATTCAACGATCATTAATATTACCAATAACAAATTGGAGGGTACCACTGATTTCAACTGATTTAGAGGTATTTATGAGATAAGCATTATCTGTCAAGCGTTGTTTGTCTATCAGCCTATCAATTACTTTCCTTGCGAACAGGTGGTCTGAGATTTATCTACAAAGCGCTACCAGTAAATGCAGATACTGCAGATTAGCAAAAGGGAATTCTTGTTTTGAATCGAAGATAACCCAATTACCCATCCACTCGAGTGTGGGATATTCGTATTTCCGTTAGGTTCAAACTATTTGGTAAATAAGCAGTGAAACGAACGCATTAAATTAGAGCTGTGCGCAGTCTCCCTCCCCTCACTTTTTCTTTGCCGGTTCAGCCACAATGCACGGTTAGCTGATTTCAGTGAAAAAATTTATCAAAGAACGGTCGAATGAATGTTGACGACAAAAAAATTGTTTATATTTTTGCACTATAGAAAAAATTCTACGAAAAATTTCGCGGCTTGGAAAATATGCGATCTACAGGCCATTCACATTGTCACCATGCCATTATCGTGGTGCAAAGATGGCTTTGGCTTCGGCATCATTTCCCAGAGGATTTCTCTTTGAGAACTATTACAATAAAATTCATTAATGTATGGAGGAGGTTCGAGAAATTTCGCCTGATATTGTTGCAAATGGCAATCGATAGAGTGTAACGAACTGTGAATGAGTGTAAATTTTATTTTTGTCAACATTTCTAATCATGATTTGGCTGATTTGCCAGCGAGAGGAATCTGATCTGTTATTGAAAGAGTCTGCGAGTGCTTCGGACTCAGTCGTTCTTTTTGCCAAAGTGTCTGCAGCGACATCGAGTGAAACGAGTCTAATCAGAAATAGTGAGTGCTAACCTCCTACCGAAATTCAAAATTAAAAGCGATTTTATTGAATAATAGAAAAATTAAATGAATGAAAGTGGTTAAAAATTGATCAAAAATCTTAGAGGGAATTTTTTATTGAGAGAAAGGCGAATTTTCATGAAAAATAAATAAATTGAACATAATTTAGATTAATGAAATTGAACAATTTGTGTTTTCAGAAATTTTTTTGCGATTTCTCCTTGCAAATTTCCTAATTCGAGTTGTTCCATTCCTTCTTTCTCCTTTTTTTGTGCCAATGTGCATTTGTTTCTCTAAGAAATGTTTCTTTTTTGCAAATTAAAACTCAATAAATTATTAAATTAAATTATTAAATTAAAATGTTGCATTTGAAATAGCTGTAAATATGAACGAATAAAAACGAATCTTTATTATTCGCAAATTTAAATTTCATTTTCTCTTAAAGGATATTTTTCTTCATGGATGCTAAGTGACTAAATTTATTGGAAAATTCTGATTTTCTGTGTGAATTGACTGGTAAAATATGCTAAGGCAAGTTTCATATAACTCGGTTTTCTTTTTATTATTTCCCCGAATTAGAAGACTGATTGCTTCGATTTTCACATTTCTATTCGTTAGTTCAACATAAGTAAATGAGGAATGACAATGGCAGTTGCCAGGAAATATGAAAAACAAATTTTTCTCATACGTCCTTTTGCAAAATAACATTTGCCATTTAAAGGAACGAAAAGTGTTTCCTTAGTAAAACTTGGTAATGTAATTATATGAAATGATTTGTTTTGATTTGCATTCGCTTGCATTACATAAATTTAGCTGACAAAAAATAAAATAAAAGTTGCTCTAATTTAACGAGCTTTCTCAATTTTCTTGTGTTTTATCTTTCGAATCTATCAAAATACATAGATTTTTAGAAATTTCGACGATGTTTTTAGCTGTATTCATTAGTGCAATAGTGGTCAACTACGCGCTGAACGAAATCGAGGATTTTCAATGCCGTGATCAGTCTGGTGATCCAGTCGATTGGTAATGTTGAATTCCCTCCTTCTTTACTCGCTTAGCCCGGTGGAAGAGAAGCCGAGTGGGGACAGTGGGGATCATCAGTTTTGCAGAAAGCCCCTTTTCTTCATAGCTAGTCAGTCAAACCAGCAGTAGTGAGTACTACTGGAGGAAAGGAAATGTGACAAATAGAAAAATATGATAAACGAATTAATTAACTCTGAAATTATGGACTACCCTGAAATTTATTATTTTGCGCAAAACAGAGATTGAGATTTAATCCAGTTAAATAATTGAAAATTTTCTTTTTTCAGGAATCTAATTTTGCGTACTAATTTCACTCATTTAGCATATTTGTACTATTTTATAAATTGTCAAATTCCACAAATTCCACAAATTTTTCGACTACTTTGATTCTTATTTTTTCAGGTTTATTTTCTATAAACTGCCGAAAATTGAAACAGTTTTGAATAGCAATATTAAAGAGGGAATAGCATTTTTATACATGGACTCAAAATCGAAAAATTGGAAACTTTCTGATAAAAGTATTGCTGATAAGAATCAAGCACTTTCATATACGCTTGAGCAAAATTATCGCTTACTTCATGAAACTCAAGTACGACTTTTACGACCTAAATCGTTAACCGAATTCAGCTCGAAAAGTTAAGAAAGAACCAATAAATCATGAATAAAGGATGAGCTTTTGCAAAAACTTTTGTAAGAACTAGCGTGGGAATTAGGAAGAACTAGCGTGAAAGATAAATTATTTCAGGTACTGAGTATTTATTATAACGATGAATTTCCCTTTCCACAGGAGCATGTTTGTTCGGATGTTAGTGGACATACTAAAGGTTAAATCTTCTAAAATGCTTTAAGCGCATTCTTAGAACGTCAGTAAAAACATATCGATACTTCCATATGAACACTGGATTACTGATTGATTTTCTTAAATGCCATAATGCCATATTTTTTATCCAAATCATATTTCAGAAATTATTGAATTAAATGAATTTATTAAGCTAGAAATTCGACCTTTGAACTTTTAAGTTTCTGGCTCAACTTCAAACTATAATTTAATTCTACCTTAAGGCTTGATTGCATTTTATGAAGAAAATGGTTACTGGCTAATCCATAGTATTCCAAAATTTCCGAGGAATGATACATATGAATATGCATTCAACGCTAGAATTTATGGACAAATGGGCATATGCGTATCCCTGAAAAGCACTGCAGTTCAAGATATTGGTAATAATTCAACTTAAAATAGTTCTGAAAAACGTTCATCAAATAATTAACGTAAGAATTGTGTCAATGCACAAAGTGAAGATTTTTACTTCAAATCACAAAACAACGATATTTTCAGCTATTCAACTTTACTACAGTTGGCCAAATATCTATTCGATTAATATTCCCAAAATATTTGGCAAAGACGTGCCCATTCTCTATAAGGTAAAGTTTGAACTGGTGAAATATTTAAGTAGTTCCCTTTAAAAGTTTGGCTAAGCTTTTCATTTTATCCGCCATTTCTAAGCTTGGTTTGCTACATTGGCTGATTCATAGCATGAAATTTTTCCACCCTTCATTAGAGTCTTCTTTTGGCTACTAGTGAATCCCTAATTTCACCATCACTTCATTTTTAATGCTATTTAATGCTATTCAACGAGTAAGCGACTTATCATTAGACCGTTTCATTCGCATCTTTTATTCCTATTAAATTTCAATTTCGATTTTCTAGGATACGAACTAAATATCGATTGAGCCAGTAAAATGATCAAATACACGGATTTTCCTAATCAAAAGATTTATAATATTTACAGCTTCGAAATGGTGAGCATGCGAAGGGTCAGCCGACCAATAGAACGGTGTCGCTAACTAGTACCAGTGGGCAAAATTTCATGCATTTTGCTAAAACAGCAGAATTTCGTCGCGGTATGCTTTCCAATAAATAGAGGCTTAAAGGTTTTTTTTATCCTGAAATTGGTAAGTGGTAATGAAGAATATTTTTACAATTATTTGAAAAGAATTTAAGAATCTAAGGAATTCCGATTACTAAAAATTATTTGCCACTGCTGCAAAAAAATCGAATTGAATTCCCTTTTGCATCATATCTATTTTTTTCTATTCTGATATGCACCATTTCTGGTTTGGTTGGTTCCTGAAAGTTACTGACTACTGGCTTAGAGGTAATGGTGCAGATGGGTATACAGTGTCACTTGGGTTTCATTTTCAATAACACTTGTCCCCGCCAAAGGGACAAAATCAAACTGGTGTATCTCTCATCTTATTAATTAATAAATTAATAAATTTAATGATACTTTGCACATTTTTTTGTTTTTTGAATTGTCAATATAGTAAATCACTGAAATTTTTTTGTTTAATTTTCAAGCAAAATTTAGATTTATACGCGGATTTTGTTGCACCAACATTGATGAGCGCATTAGCGGTAGAAACATGGCAACATGGAGCAAAAGATGGAAATCTCGGTCCATTTTGCAAATCTAATCATCACAGAGTTAGCAATTTCTTAGAAAAGATTGCTATGGGAATTGCCATATCGAATTCTATTGCGCACGGCATATTTATTAATTGATAAAAAATTTTCTAGTGATACATTTGCCTATATTTCTTTCCTTGTGAATTTAATGAGCGTAGGGATAAGATATGGATAGTGGTAACTCCTTCCTCCAACAATAGTGAATCGGCTATCTTCCATTAAAAAAGTGATATTGGCGTCTTGTACTTCTATCACCGAACGACTCTCTGGCGAGAAATGCACTCGCAGCCAGCGAGCTAGCATAACCAGACATGATAAGCGCTGACTATTATCACAAAGCCCATTTGTACATTTGATATAGTTTTAGTGCAAATCCTAAACCTGAAGAATTAAAAAATGGTTCTCTCTTTATGCATTATGTTTTAATTCTGCTGAGAATCTTTTATCAGATATAACAACTTAAATGATTTTTGATAAGATTTTAAAGTAATTTCAACTTAATTATAAACAAAATAGACGTTTATTTTTATTTAATACTGTATGCTTATTCACTTCACAATTAATTTATTAAGGTATTGGACATAAAGAGCGTAAAGCGACCAGATGGAGGAGTATTCTCGAACTATCTTGATCATTCGAAATACGCAATCACTATCGATAATGGTTTCAACACCGTATGTGTGGGTGACATAAATCGGCAGGTACAACAGAAAGTATTTTATAATTTGGAACTTGTTTCTCTCTATTATGTACAAAAGCGAGTCATTATTTAATTAAATTTTAATCTTCATCTGCTTTATATTTTAGGTGCATCAACTTAAGCGCGCTGGTGGTACTCTGTGTTTGCAAGATGCTAACGTCCATCGAAGTTATCAGAATTTAATAGCCGAACTTTCAAAGTGTCCCAATAACTTTTTAAAATGATTTTAAAAAATGATTTATCAGTTAACTTAAAAAAAAATGAAGAAAATAATAGAAAGTCGTTTTTAATATTTCATTTTCTTTCATCATCAGAAAATAAAAATTATTTAATTGCTTTTCATAATGGATGTAATAATTTTTCCTTGGAAAAGCGAAGTTTATGGAGAAATATTTAAATATTTATTTTTAACTTATTTTTAGATATTTATTTTTCATTAAATAGGTATCAAATTATTACAAAATTTTACAAAAATTAACTTGTTTAATTGTAATTATAAAACAATGATATTATCATTGAACAATTATCATTTATTGAAAACCAGTCAAGCAGGGCAACAAGCCATGTGCTTTTATTAATAGCAACAGTTAAAATAATAATAATGAATGATGAAAAAAAAGAGAATAAGACAAAAATTAACAAATAAAATAATATGACATAGTACAATTCAAAGTAACTGTATTATATATAATCGGATTGCACGCTTCCTGCATGATGTGAACTTTTTAATTAATGCCATAAATAATATTACCTAATTTCTAATAATAATATTTAATGACATTTTTTTTAAAGATTGCTAAGGATAACGTGCAAGCTATATCGTTTGGTAATTTATTCCAATAATTAATTTATTCCAGTAATAATACGAATAAAGAAATCATGAATCCTTAGTTTAGTTTTGAACATAAGTTTTAGTAATTTTAGTAATTTTTAATTTCTAGTAATTTTTAGCCCATTAGTTCTTGTTGGATTTAACTTTAACCTAAAATTATAATATTTTGAACAGTCTAATTTAATATAGCCATACAGAATCTTATATAAATTAAATCTTGTTTAATTCGACGAGCTGAGAGAGAACCCAGGTTATATTGTAGAAGTTTTCATTTATAATTAAGATTGGAAGTAGAGAAGTGTCATATAAAATATTTCTGGATTCGTTCGATTATTTTACTTGATTTACGATATGTCGGATAACATATAGTATTATAATCAAGAAGTGGCCGAACGAACGCTGTGTAAATCTGCAATTTTGTTCTTAAACGAAAACGAAAAATAAATTTTAATATCTTTCAGGATTTCTTTATCATAGTTTTGCAGTGAAGGTCGAAATCGAGATTTTCATCCATGATTATTCCAAGATCGGAAATGTGTGAGACTCTACTGATTATATTGCCATTAATAAAAAGATTAAGAAAATCGAAACCTTCAAAATTGATATGAAGAATACATTTTTGAAAGGAAAGGGTAATTTGCCTATCATATAGCCATTTGGCTATTCTGTTAAGGTCCTCATGCAGTGGAGATAGGCTATCTGTTCCACAATTAGAATAATAAATTTTATAATCATCAATATAAAGATAAATAGTAGAATTTAGTACTACTTTGGTGATATCATTTATATATAATAGAAAAAGCAATGGCGCAATGCAACTACAACACCAAATTTAACAGGTGTTGTATTAGAGAGAGTGTTGTTGACGGTTGGTGACGATCTTTTATGTAATGTGACACCCAGTTATAAAGGGCCCTTGTAATGCCATATTAACAGTGATCAGTAATTTGCTATAGGAAACAGTATCAAAAACTTTAGCCAAATCTAACTACACAACTGATATACTGTTTTTCCATTGTCAATTGATGCTGACCAATTGGAAATTGAAAGATTTGCCAATATTTGTGATGAAGTAGATTTTTTCGCACAATACTGATAGGAGGATATGAAATTATTAGCATCAAGATAAGTAAGAAAACCTTTCCAGTACCAATGCACGTTAGGCTAAAAGGCCTGTAATTAGAAGGGCCATAAGTGCTTCCTTTTTTAAGAATGGGAAAAAAAATTTCCAAATTTTGGGATTAAGGCCAGATTTTATAATATCCTTACAAATTAGAAATAGGGGAAGACTTAAAGATAATGCAAACTTTTTAAATTATTTGCGGAATATTATCAGGACTAGCTGAAATGGACGGTTTGAGTTTATTTAAGGCGTCATAAACAATATCTAATAACGTTATTTCAACCTCACGAAGGAAGTACAACAAATTTGATGTACGTTAAAAAAAGAAGTATGACTATCATCGTCAACAAATACACTGGAATAATATTGATTAAATACAATATCGTTATCAGAGATGATCACACATTACCATTATATTGCAGAATTGTTTACGTGGATTTGCAAATTTTCTTTTAATGTAAGTCCAGAAAGAATCTCTATTGACATTCAAAAGTTGCTCTTCTTTATTTGAAAAGTAATTATGAATAGTGCACGAAAACTTTTTAAGCATTTTTTAGGACATTTGGCAATTTGGTTAGTAAAATAGCAGCAATGGTAATAATAATAATTCAATTCATTATTAATTAATTAAAGCCAATGATGACAAACGTTTTGTTATAATAGAATTTATTTTTTGATAATTTTGACAAGAAATTAATAAGAAAAGAAAGAATAAGAAAAGCAGAAAATTTCGGTGAAACCTGTAAAGATTTTTAAAAAGCAATGAATAATATCGTTTGAATCGTTAGTTTTATTGGCGAAATGTGCTCAATTCTTTTTTATAACATGTTAAAATCTTTATTTTTACACACATTCAAGACATTTGCTAGTTCATTCGCTTTTCCCTGATAAAATTTTTATTTTCTGAAGCGTTTTCATAGATCTTAAACTTTAATAAATGATAAGTGAATTTAAAATGGTACTTCTCGGTTACAGTGTTCGCGAGAGATCGTGTTTCTATTTGTTTCATCTTATCGCCCACAATTCGCAAATAATTCGAGCTCGGATGACATAATTTTCTCTACACTTTATATCGTGAACGTATCCTTTCAAGTCGCCTCTGGCACCTCACCAATGGAATAGGGTTTTTCATCTCCCCACTCTACATGGTGACCATACCCTTTCAAGTCACCTCTGGCACCTCACCAATGAAAAAACTAGAGTCCCGTAATGCTACAGATTTTTTTAATGATATCATTAATATATTAAGTTAAAGAACTTATAAGATTTAAACCAAACTCTAAATTCTACAATTCGCCACTTTGCGAACCAACCAACGTGAAATTGAAGCACCGGGAACCGCGTTTTCTCCTTTGCTGCGGCCGCAAGATTCTAAAAATTTTTTCGTGAAAACTGTGCGTCGCGTATTTGTCGAGTCTTTTTTTTACATGAAAGCGGCAGTTTATTGGGTTCTCCTCGACCTTTTGACCTTTCGGCATTCTCATAATTTTTGTAGAAATATTTTGCAAATTTTTGGAAAGATTTCCGCATGACTGTTGTTTCCTTTTTTATAATATGTTTCAATTCTTAAATAAAAATATTTTTACATAAATATCTATGCGATGAACTAAAATAGCAAAGTAGTAAAATACTAGAAAAAGATAAGATTAAAAATTTAGTGGTGAAACAAATAAGATATTTTATCTGTGTCCAAATTTAAGTTTGATTTAGTGAGGCGTCTGAGACGTCTGATTGAATAGTGATTTTGATCGTTATTTCGAGGCTTAGGCTTCGGCTTCTACGTCCGTCGAGGGTTGGCCACGAGAGTTGTTCAGGAATCAAAACCGCGGCCGAAAATTCCTGGCTGCTTTCATCTTTTCTTGAGATTTTTTCCTGGAAAACAAAAACTTTGCTTATTTTGTCTTATTCGGTAGTACTGCAAGTGTTTTCATTTTATCCAGTATGGCTGGCATTAAATACATTGTGTGAAGAATGAAAGTGGGGACAATCGAGGAAGAACAGGTTTTAAGACTGAAGTGACGAGGTAATTGAGCAATGAAAGAATGTGGCAATTAGTGAAAAGGAAGAAGGGCACCGTGTCGCGCTTGAGCTTGATCTCATTTCATAAGACAGAATGTTGCTTAACATTTTTAGATTTCTTTGTTGCTTATTTCGTGCAGCTGAAAATTGAAATAAAAAATTAACTATTGATAAATTATAAAAAATTTGCAGATAATGCGAGCTGATTATTTAAAAGATCGGTATTTTTGAGTAAAGAATTTCCTGCTCTATCGTGCCAATTCTCAGAATGGAGGGTTTACCGGAAATAATACCAATTAATTGTTATAATGTAGAACGAGTAAGTCGTCTTCCTTTTTAAATTTTCAAATCGAATATTTAGAGGTGAACAAACAATGAATATTGGTTTTCATGCTGCGATTAAATTATATATATATATATATATGTACAAAATCACTTTCTCATTCTCTTTAAGCAGGAGGAATCTTCAACCTTAAGTCCTCTGCCAGAGGTCTGCATAATTTTGTTGTTCCTAGTAGTGCGCTGTTCTGAACAGAGTTCATGATGTTGTTCTTGGAATCTGAAAAACTTTTCTAATTTAGCGCTTATGGTTTCTAGTGGTGCAATTATCACTGGGATTAATTTAATCTTCCACATCTCTGGTTCGTCTTTCATCCTTTGGTATTTTTCTAGCTTCTTACATTCCTCCTTCCAAACGTTCTTGCCATTTGTTGGTATTGCTATATATATCGCCAATGCTGATTTCTGGTTCTTGTTTGCTACCACAGTATCTGATTGGTTAGATAGTACATTTTTGTCCTTCTGGATGGATATTATTTTCCACGATTTTCTGAGGAATCTCTCATCTAGTCCTTGGAGAGTCTAAGTCACGGGCTACTTGGTTATGCCTTTCAGTATATATTGTTCCTGCTTCATCTTACATGCCATTATATGTTGGACTGTTTCTGAGGCAGGCATTTTTGCATAATTTGAACCTGGAATTTTGTTTAATATAGTAAATCTTTGCTTCAATGGATTTGATGCTTAATATCTTTTGCTATGATCTATGATTTTCAATGCTGCCTTCCAGTTTTTTCCAACCAGAATTTCTCATTGTCAGCTATCTATCTGTGGTACAAACCATGTGGTCTTTTTTGCCATGGCACTTCCACTTCCTCTGGTTACTCTTTTTCCAATGTCTATAGGTGCTTCAGATGTTATCTTTAGTAGCTTATCTATTGATCCCATGCCATCTTGCTGATATATTCCTGAATGCTTCGGATTTCAGATTCGTTCAAGAGAGTAATTTGACATTCACCTAACCCCACCGGCTTATCAATTTTTGGGTGTTAGATTTGGGGTGGAAATTTAATGTTCACCAGCAGCCTCCACGTCTTTTCCACCTTACTATGCCAGTTTGCATATCTGATAGCTATCAAGGTATACATTTTATGGTATTGATTATATTTTTCCCTTTGAGATGGCTCTTTAGGATTTCTCTTACTCTTTGGTGATTGTTTTCCACAGTCCCATTGAGTACTCAGTGAACGTCTTTAGGATCCTTTTGACTTTATGTAGAGCCAGATATCACAAATCCATGCATGCATGGGGCATATTGAATCACAGGGTTTCCTATAGTCAATCCAAGCTGTCCAAGATCGTAATTTTGACAGCTGTCCAAGCTGTCGTAATTTTTAGTCTTAAGCGACTGCCTTTTCTTCAAGCAGCTGGCGTTTGGAACCTCGAGTTTTGTTCCCAGTGCTATAAAGCTTGGTGGCTATGATGCATGATAGGATTTTCCACATTGTGGAGGAATAGATTATTGGCCGGTAGTTAGATGGTTCCATATGAAAATCTTTTATGACTAGTACCAACCTTTCTTGTATTATCCAGTTTGCTTGAGAGTCTACCACAAGCAGCTGGTTCTGTGTCGTTAGACGCTCATAAATCGCAGCTATCTTCTTCAGGCAATAGGTGTAGTTTATGTTCAGATCGGGCACTGTCCAATTTTTCAATATTTTTAAGGTGCTGTTGGATGACAAGCAATTGTGATGATAATTGATCCCTACTGTGGAAGGTTGCTGCCTATTTCCACGTCCTGCAACTGTTTCGCATTGGAATCTGTTTTATGAATCTGTTTTTTTCCTCATTTATTCTTCCAGTACCGTTCAATTAAACAATTAAACCATCTTTTTGGCTCTGTTGTTACCATACTGAATGCAATTGAGAGTGCACCTTGGATGCCTCCTTGGGGACTTAGCATTTATCTTTTTGCCCCCGTTTCTCTAGTATGTCTTCTTAGACCATTGCTATGAACCTTTGTTGAAAGCTTCTGAGGGAATGTGGTCTTTATATTTTTTCAGTATCCGGATCTGTTCTTCACACCTTTCTTCACACCTTTTGATAATTCCATCAGCTCATTAACTTCTATGAGTTGTATGAGTTGAACTTATTCTTCAGCCTCATTTTCCGATTTGCATTGCTCTTCTTCTTGATTCTCTGTCCCAACATTTCGAGAATTATAGCAGCTATAGCATGCATATTGATTTTTGTTACAGTGGTAGAATTGTACATATAAATTTATTAATATTTTTTCATATACAAATATGTTTTAAAGAAGTTTTTTCCTAAGCGCTAAAATTGCTAAAAAATTTATCCAGCTTTAAAATCTAGCTTTCTTTGTCTTCATAAGTTGTCCAAAGTTTGGTCCAAAAATTTAAAAATTTCAGTTGAATCGTTTTTATTAAAATTTAAAAAATTTCAAGCAGTGCATTTTCGGTTATAAAGTTGATCATAAAGTTTCATAAATTGAATGCTTGAATTTATTATTTTTACATTAATTTTACAAACTTAGAGGGTCGATTGTTGCCGTCGGAGCTCCACTGCTGGAATTTTCTCGTCAAAAATATATATATATCCTTTAGAAATGATATTATACAATGATTATATACCTTTATCAACTAACCAAGTGGCAAAATTTGCTTGGTCCGACTAGCTAGCGGAGCATAGAAATAATGATATGGTGAATGTTCTTAGAAAAAAAAGATTTGCAGTCTGAATCAGGAAATAAATTGTTTAATTAACTTAGATGATTTAAATGATTAGGACATTTAAGCAATCAAATTTTAAAGAGCAGTTTACTGCTTTGTACATATTATTATTATGCTATTTTTGCGGTGCAGATTCAATTAAATTGAATTAATTCAATTTAATCAATCAATCAATCAATCAATCAAAGAGCAAAAATTTCGAATTTATTTTCAATTGTTTTTTTGAGAAATTTGCATTAGAATTAGAATTTTTAGAATTTTATTATGAACAAATTTCTGTTTCCCTTTTCCATTTTGCCTTTTTTTCGTGGATTTCGTAGACACTTGCTGGTTCGATTCTTTTAAAAAAAGAAAATTTGTCGGAATAGTTGGATACGTGAAGTTTAAATTAAATTTAAATTCGAATTCAAATTAATTTTTGGTAACTTTTAGTTATAAATAATAGTATAGTAAGATCAATAATAGTAATAAGTGTAGTTAGCTAGTAATTAAATAGTTATTAAGAATACTGAGCAATTTAAATTATTTGCAAAAGATCTTTTGTGAATCTTTGGGAATTTCCAATAAATTTTTTTAAATTTATGAAAGAAATTTTTTTCTGGGGGTCTATGAAATTTTTTCGAATTATTCTCACAATTATCGTTTTTGTCAATATGTTATGACAATTTCTAATTTGATTTTAGAGTAAAAAATATGCTATATAATATTTTTTATTTTTATTACTAATTTATTACTATTTATTATTTTATTACTAATTCTAATTTTATTTAAATTCTGTTGGCAAGAAATTGGCAACAGCTAGCAATTTTTCATTTTCATTTATAAAATAGATCTTTGGTTACAGTTTTATTCCCGTTATTATCAATCTAAATCAAATTTTTCATTTTTTTTTAAAGATTTTTATTTATTTGTGGAGTAATTTAATGCGTTATTTTCAGGGTAAATTAACCGCATCTGTTAAGTGGCTGGTTGGACGTGTTTATGGGAAGAGTGTGCCCGATTTATTGCAGAATCCTGTCCGAGTTAATGATGATGTAAATGCTTAATCATTTTATAGGTTTTTTGGCGACAGTTATTGTTGCCAAAGATTCTGAGTTTTTTTTGATTATTTTTTAAAGTGAAATTTTGTTAACTTTTTTTACACTAGATAGATTAACTTAGTGCAGAAAAGCAACTATTTTTCGCAAAATTTTTTCACTTTTATGTGTAATTTTCACGATTTAGAATACCTTTCATCTTGTTACTGCTGTTATTACGGGTTTAACGAATGCTAGCTTGTACAGTAATGCAGCTGCAAAGATTTTCAAGGATCACAGTCTCATTAATGTTGGTATAGAACATTATTTTCTTCCGAATTATGTTATTTTTTTATTCTAATTTATATTTTTGTTCTAAAAATATGCGAAAATATTTTAAGAAATCGCATGGCGTTGTGTTACGTGTGCTTGCAAATCACTCAATACCTTTAATGATATCTGGAGAAGAATCGAATATCAACGAAACTATGCTATCATCAGTTCAGCCTTTTAATCAAGTATATCTTATTCATTAAACCGAGAAGCTTTCCAGATGACCAAATGTTTTGAAATATAATTTTCTAGAAAAATTAAAATAAAACTAATTTTATTTTTTTTTTTGTTAATTGATTTTAATAGTATAATAGTATATTTTTTGCATTAATTGCATTAATTTTTGCATAAATTTTTTAATTCAAAAATTGTATGGCTTAATTTAAATATTGTATAGCTAATATTACGTGTAGTAGAATATTCGTTACGGAGAGTCGACTCAATTTTAATTTTTTTTCAAAAATAATAAAAATGGTTTACAATTTATAATAAATTTTTTTTTTAGCCGGCTCATTTAGCATTAATTGATGCTCTTATGATATCACATATGCGCTCAATAATTACTATTGAACGAGTTGTTGATGCGGTACAGTAAGTCATTTTTTATGAAAATCTTCCCTTTAAATATCAAAAGCATCATCAAAATAGAATTATAATTGGCATTATTGGCATTTTTGATCATAGTGCTATTTAGAAAATATACTACTGTTGATAAACGTGAAGAACCGATGGATAGTGTTGATGCACTTCTATTTTGGATTAATAAAATTTGTATGTTGGTAAGAGATGACATGGAAAAGTACCAAGCGACATCAAAAAATGACGGCTGTAAGTGTAGGTCTACATTCAGAAAATCCTCTTTTTTTTGGATTTAATCGTTTATTTCATATGCGTTTAATAATTTATAATTCAAGATTCAGGATCATTTCAGATAATGCTTCAGTAATTGTTCCTGAAATGGAAGACTTGTATGAGGATATGTGCGATGGTGCTTGTATCTGCGCAGTTATCGCCTTCTATCGGCCAAACGATTTGAATCTTCGAGGTAGTTTTTAAATAATTTTTACGATTTAATTTTAAGGCTTAAAGCTTTAAAGCTTAAAAATTTAAAAATATTAAACTTAAAAAATAATTAAGCATATGTTGAAAACGTATTCTAATAAAATTTTTCGGGTTATGCTAACGGTTCTGAAAAGTCTAGCGGATTCGCAACTGCAAAAAAAAGACAATTGTTTTTATATTTATATGAAATTCGTATGACAATTTATATGAAAGACAAAAAGACAAAAAGATAATTGTTTAATATTGCCAAAACGAATGAAGAAAATGCCAAGTTCATATAAATTATTTAAAGTTCATATAAATTCATCTAAATTAACTGGTTAAGCGCATATTATATATTTTATTATATATTATATATATTTTAATATTATTTAATGGAATATTTTTAGAAATTTGCTTCAGTGACCCAATGGGATTGGCAGATTGTCAGTACAATTTAACGCTTTTAAAGTTAGTTCAGTTGTAACCGTTATTTATTTTTTTGAATGCATATTTACTTTTATTAATTTGAATTTACGAAAAATATAATTTATTAAAGATTTATGATATTTTTTAGGCGTTTTTGTCAAACTCTTCCATGTAATTGTTTCTATTTTGAAATAGAAGATATTCTTTATTTGCATGAATGTTTACAGCCGAATGTAAACGCACTGCTTGCTGATTTGTTTTATCATTTCGAAGATGTCGAAGGAGCATGTGGTTATTCTTCTTTACCATTATAAGTTAAAACAAGTATTAAAAATATAACAAAATAATGTGGATCTTTTAATGCATAAACTGTATCAATTTATTCGAGTAGAATTTATTGTAACACATTGCACTTGTAAACCAACTGGAATTCGTGTTGGGCTGAATGGTAATCAGTGCGCATTTTCTGGAAATTCTCTCATTCTTTCAATTTTAGATCTGATGAAAGGGGATAGGCAAATTTTAATGATCAGAGAAAACCAAAAATTTTTCCCAGTCAGAAAATTTTTTATATAAAATTTCAGCGAAGACCCCTGTCGATCCGATTTCATCTCGTCGGTTTATTAATAGCGCTGGAATTCCTGGCTTGCGAATGCATAATGTTTCAAGCACACGAGTGCAACAGAAAGGAAAACTTGCTCAGCCGGGAATGATTCGTGGTATTTTCTTATTATTTTCACACAATAACTCATCACTTTATTTTTTACTTTATTCTTTACCTTATAGATTTTTCATTTTATGTTTATTTTTTTATTTTTATTTTTTTTATTCAAACCAACTTTTGAATAGCTTCAAATAGATTTATTCCAGCGGTATCTGTTATGTCAACTGATTCGCTTATGGCAAACAGGTCCTTTGCTTTATTTTTTTATTTATTATGTAATTATACTTATTAATTTTTTGATTATGGTTATTATTGTGCTAATTGTATGACTAATGCAAATCTACCATCAGAATTTTTTATAAAATGAAATTAAACTTAATTTTGTCAGCGAGATCGTAATTTTGAATAAAACTTTGAATCAATTTTTTATAAAGTTAAAGACTGCTCTGTTAGATCCTTTAAGATCCGGTGATTCGCGTCGTTACACCCAAAACAACCGTCCTAGTTTGTGTCCAAATGATACAACTAATTTTTGTGAGTTGGTAGGTGTTTCCTTTCTTTATCTTATCGAACCATCTCTGATTGGCATTGTGTGATTAATATATAATTTGATTTTTTCTGAAGTATTTCTATAACTTTTATAGGTTTAAATTTATTGGAAAAAAATTTTTTTTAGCTATAGGATTCTTGTTTGGATTTTTTCTTCGCGATTTAAATTTTTTTTTCATTTCATTGAAAATATTGCAGTAAAACAGTTTATTTGTTGAAATTAACTGTTTACTCAGGGTTCATTTGACTTGCCATCAAATGTAGGAAGCAATTTATCTACTGGTGGTATATATATTCGAAGCGATTCAATGCCAGCTGCAAGTATTCGTCTTGCTTTAGAGGAGAAACGCCGTGAGCACGAGAAGAGGCGTTATTTGCAAACGTTACTATTTTATATTTAATTATTCACTTTATTATCTCAATGAAAAGGAATGCTTATTTCTTTTTTACTCAGTGCAATTTTTTTTTAGAAATCAGAGTCAGTCAGAAAGAGTTCAAATGCAAAAAGATGCTTTTTTCACGTTAATGCAGAGGCTGGAGAAGGTTGATATTTATTTATACATTGACTATTTTATATCTTATGTTATTGTAATATAAAAATCTATAAAATAAAACAAATGGAAATTGAAGAAATTTATTGGTTTGATATTTATTTTTAGTTTAAATTATAGCAAGGGTCTGAAGGCCGTTCGCGTGCTATGAGTGAATATGGTACGCCATCTGCTCGTGAAATAAAATCATTAAAAGAAACGGTTGAAGGATTGCAAGTTTGTTTCTTAATTTGTTATTATTGGAAATTATACCTTGCATTCTTCTTAATTTTATTCGAAATTTCGCTCATAAAATGTTACAGAAACAATTACAAAAGATGTCAATTCAGCAAGAGCATTTAACACGCCAATTTGATGGTCAAAGGCGAATGACTCATGCTACTTCGCAACCATCTATTCATTCAGGTCATCTTTGTATTCTGTGGCATTGTATATATATATATATATATATATGACAATCGTGTTTTTGATCTTTTTTATGTTAATTTTCGGATTTTATGAAACAGTATATATTTGCCAATTGTATATGCTATGGAACAGTTAGTTGATTAGTTCTTTCGATTAGAAATTATTTCATGAAACTTATTCTGTCGAAACTTATTCTTACATAATTAAGGCAAATTAATGATTAATTCGTATATTCGTATAATGTAGTGATTACTTTCTCTAATTTTGTGGAATTCTTACTTTCAAGATGATTAAAATCAATCAATTAAGATTGTAATATTTATATATTTATAATCGTAAATTATTGACTATGATCACCTATTCAATTGTCAGATTTCGGATATTTACATGAAGTGATGCAACAACCTTCACTGAATCCATATTCAACACTGCCCCACAACATGGTACGCTCTGGAATAATCCAGCCACAGCATACTTATGCTATGCCTTATGCAAATGCCAATAATCTAAGCCAGATGGATTCATTACCAGGCCAAATTATTTGCCATCCTTCCGACGAACAGCAAATGTATCCTTTAACTCAGATGCAAGTAAAATTTTTTAATTAATGCATTGATCCATTTTTTACTAAATTTAATTTACTAAATTGAAGGTAATTATTTAAATATAAATATAGATTGGTTTAAATTTTTTTATAAATTACAAATTTATAAATTTTTTTTTTCAGATGCCATCATCATTTGCACCAGTTTCTTCTCAAAGATTTATTCATGCAATGGCTGATCCGTCTCATATACGCCAGAGTGAAATTGATCTTAATACTTATCACTTTGGCCAAATGGCATCGCAAGTTTCATGTATGCTTGATACTAGCAGTTTAGCTACAGATTCAGCAAATTCTTTCCGACTTCATCAGAATAATGTAAATTATTTTGAAAAAAATAGTGACTAATTTTTTTCGGATTTTTCGGATTTTAAGAATTTTTTAAGGATTTTTTAATTTTTTAATTTCTTTTAAGAATTTCAATTTTAAGAATTCAAGGATTTAATTCTTTTAAATATAGGCATCATCAAGTAGATTGGATCCTCCGCTGGAACTAAATCGTAATTTAACTAATTGGGGTTTGACTTACAAAGCTGGACATGCTCTTCGGCCACAGAGGCGAACTTGGGAAAACGAAACATTTGTTAAGAGCGATATGGATCTTGTAAATCAGCCTAATGTTGTTCCATATGTCCTTAATGATCAGGTATAATGTAAAGTTTTCACTTTCATTAGATTTGTATTTCTTCCATTTAAAAATCGTTTCAAATTTGTAAAATTTGCTTTTATGCGCTAGATGCTGTCAGAAGCAATTGTCAAACTATCCAAAAAAGCTGCCAAAGCCTGAATGTCAGGATATCTTAACTATTGGGCTCCTCGAAGAGTTATAACGACAGCAGCACGGCGGAACAGAAATCGCTACTGGAGCGATATTGCCTTGAAAATGGAGATAGGCGGCTCGGATAGGTGATATGAAACTGTTTCGCCTTCTCCGCAAAGCAACTATAACTAAGAAGGGGTTAATGAAATGATACGGGAAATTAATGGGGATATTAATGCCTATTAAAGCTGTTAAGGATCGCCTCAGAAGATGGAAAGAATTTTTTGTGGCCAAACTTAACCATGATACACCATCTTTTGTTCCGAATGTTTGCAACTATGAGCCTCCTAGCGGAGATATGTGATTCCTTTGAAATAAAAACTTGTGTCCGTCAGGGTTCTTTCCACTACAACTATTGGATAATGGATACCGCTCGTCGACATTCAAGAGATGTACAAATTAGTCGAGAGTATCGTATCACAGACTTTGAATAAGCTGATAATGTAGTTTGCTTGCTGACAGTTATAATGCCAATAATGTGTCAACAAGTACAGCGAGAATTGGACCCAAAATTAATTTGAACAAAACGAAAGCGTTTTCATCTTATATACAAAATGCCGATATAATATGCTGATAAAATAAATGCTTATATACAAAATATCTATTTTTATCAGTTCATTATTGGCTAAGGAAGTGCCAACTTTAAATATATTGGAACCACTCAAATCTTAAATAACCAGGCAAGATACGATATTACAACCCGGATTACAGCAATTAGAAATATGTTTTCCGAGTGACGAAATCTTTATGGAATCGTCTCGAAATCACCATAAAAACGAAAATCCTCGTCCATATAGTTGTAATTCGCTCGATCTTACTGTATGGCTGCGAAACGTAGCTAATTAGAGTTGAAGAAGTTGAAGATATTAATAAGTCTTTGACCACTAATGTTATAATACATTTTGTGGATTTATCGAGCGGATAAAATCACACATGATTGTATCTATCTTCGCTCAAATACCACCTGTATTAATAATATTATCACTGAGCGCCTTCTTCGCTGGTTAGAATGCATTTTTTGTCCTCCACTATAGGGATTAATGCATATTTCGCTACTTACCGAACCTTGATGGTAGGGGTCAAAAGCGAGGAGAGCTAATGAAGACCTGGACTGATGCTGTCAGAAAAGATTTCGAATGTATAGGAGGACTAGCGATATATAGACGATGGAAAAGAAATGGTTTCTATTACTATTAGCGATGGTGTTGGACCGAGCAACTTTGGCAAATCTCTTGTCGCCGACGAAGTCAGTCTTCCAGTATTAGTGAGAGCTGTTAGAAGAAAAAGAAGATTTTGCCAAAACACTCTGAAAATTTTTTTAGAATTTTTTTTTCGTAAATTTATTTATTTTTATTAAATTTTATTATTTCTATCAAATTTATTTTTATGATTAAACTAAATAAGATAATAATATAATATATTTAATATAATATAATATATTTAATAAATATATATTTAAATATATAATATATTTAAAATAGTATATTTAATCAATATAATTTTTTTTGCTAAATTTTTCTTAAAATAAGATTCATTTATTAAGGTACTTTTAGGAGGATACTTATTTTGATTTTTGCTTTTATATTTATTTTACTGTGTTATTATTTACTAAATAAAATATATTGTACCTCGTCTTCATTAAAAATTTATGGTTACAGTAGAATATGTCCATTTTATTCTTTTTTTCATTAATAATTATTAATTAATTAATTAAAGTTTTATGACAGGATCAAAAACCTCCACCAGTGTCAAACGAATTACCTATTTATGATAATGCACAGCCTTTAGTTTATCAGCAACAATCATTACCGCAACTATGTTCTGCCCAACAACTGAACAAACGCAAAGGTAAACACGATTATACATATGGTCTGAATTCAGTTATAGTATAATGTTAAATGAATAATGGCTGGAACTTATAATTCCATTTGTCATTAGTTTTAGTTTTCAGTTTCAGTTTTTGTTTTTTATGTGAATGATTGTTTTTCGTTTTTTATTGATTCTCGTATATTTTGATATTTCTTCTTATTACATATCTATTTTCTATTTTGCTGTTTTGAAATGCTTGGTATTACCTTGGTAATATTGTTACTAAGAAATTATAAACCTCGCCTTGTTGCAAGATGATTATGTTATTGCTTCTTATTGCTTCCAAGGTCTTTTTCACCTTTTTTTCAATACATTTAGGAATTAATGAGCAGAAACCACCTATTCCTGTTCACCAACCAAGTCCTCCGAAGGATCCTTCTTCTCCACCTCCAGTCAATATTTTAGTTCAACAAAGGCAATCGACAACTGGTGGATCGCAATTTATAGTTCAGGACGCTGATTCCAACAAACCAGCAATAGGCATAGTATGTTCTTTCTATCATAATAATGATGGAGTTATATCTTAAAAAGTGCATCGTTAGCTTAGTGGCAAGATGTCCATGAATCAAGAAAAGTTCGAATTGAGCATCGCGATTATCGAGCCGTGATGTTGCCAAACGGTAAAGAGTTGAAATGGTTTGTCTTTCAGTCTAAAGCGCTGATGTTAAGATGTTGAGATTTTACATCTAACAGAAAAAATGAAAAGTCCGAGCAGTTTTGACAACTTACATACACTTATATCATCAAGTAACTCCTCAGCAAAATTTATCTGGTCTAACGTGCAGTGGTGAGCGATAGATAAATTATATTTAAGTTACTGGGATTATTTCTGTTAGATTTGTAGTTTGATTTTGTTTGACCTTGACTTTTTTTAATTTTTTTGATCTAATGGATCTTTCTATTAAGACGCGTGAAATGGAAGCGAAAAGAGAAGCATTACTGGCGAAAACATTAAAACGGCGTGAGCAAATTGAGCAGAAAGTGGAGGAATTGGAGGCAAAAAATGCCGAACGTCGCTTGGCTGAAATTGAAAAGCAAGAAGCAGCTGAACAGCGTAAACGAGAACGAGATTTACAAAGGTTAATTTTGGTTTATTTGAAGTTTTTCCTTGGTTCAGATATTCAAAAATTATTTTTATTCTTCCAACAGCTCTTACCATTATTGGTTAGCCTGGCTACAAGGATAAGATACCTCCAAGCTGTTTGGCGATCTCTAGAAACCCTTCCTTTTGCCATCGTCTAAGTCCATATGTCGCTGGTCATCCTATACGTTCATAATCTTTCCTGGCTGTAATACTCCAGGTTTTCATTGGCCTTCCTCGCTTTTCACGCCAACTATAACAGAGTTCGGCAATTAGCGAAATATTTGTCAACTCCCGTGATGGGCAACGAAGAACATGTCCTAACAACCGAACGCGGCGTTCAGTGATAGCATAATTAATACAAGTGATGTTTGAGCGAAGATGGATATAATCATGTGCGATTCCGCTCGATGGACCCACGAAATGTATCTTAGATATGAGTGCTCAAAGGCTCATGGCTTCTTAATATCTTCCCCTCTCATTGGTTATTTCGGAGCCATATATAGTAATATCGAGCGAATTGCAGTTATATGGCCGATTTTCGTCTTTGTGGTGATTTCGTGACGATTCCATAAAGATTTCGTCAATAGGAAAACACATATCTAGCTGTCATTATCCTGATTGCAATGTCGTATTTTGCGTAGGACTCATTTGGGACTCGAGTGGATGTAAGATATTTGAAGCCAGGTACTTCAGGCTGTGAGTTGATAAAAATAGATATTATCAGCATTTTTTATATAAGACGAAAACACATTCGTTTTATTTACATTGATTTTGAGTCCAGTTCTCGCTGCATTTGTTGACATATTGTTTAACATTGTTTGCTATTCATTATTACTGTAAGCAAAAAGACCTCATCAGTTTCAAGATCTGCGATACTAAGCTCTGGACTGATTTGCCCACTTCTTGAATGCCAACAAGCATACTCATTATCCAAAGTACCACATAATTGAATATTGTACAGGAAATAAAGTATTATTGACGGACACCAGCTTTTATTTTAAAAGGGTCAGGCAGTACCCCATATACACAGACCTGTGCCAGTGTACGCTAATAAAATGCCTTTATGAGCCAAATGATTTTTTTTGTGATCTTGTAGCTTGCAACATTCCATAAGCATTCTGACGTTCCAAGCAGCTATAGTCTGCCCCTAGCCGCGCTTACAATGTATTAGTGGATAGGTTCTCGACCATTTTGACGGATTTGAGCTATTATGTCGAGTATGTTCACACTCTTGCTCTGTCCTTGGAATGGTTTTATTATTATTACTTTCGGATCGTATATTTATCGCTTATACAACCGTATCAGAAGAATCATGCGGACGTCGTGTCAAAGAGACTTGACCCTTTCGCAATGGAGATAGAGATACAGGTGGATTCTCAGCGACCACCCGGATTTTTGATACCATGACAAGTTACTCTTGTCAGAGAAACAAAGACAACTAAATTCAAAAAATATATACATATTTTTATAATTTATGATTTATATAATTTGATTTGGTTATAATTTATTTTAATTGTCGTTTGAAAAAAAAAAAGTTTAACGGGAAGTTTAAGGACTTAGGTGAATTGTTGAATTGCTATCAGAAATGATAAATATTTCGTAAAAGTAAATCGAGAAGATTTTTAAAATCCAATATCCATTTTCATTCATATTCATTCGTAAAGTCTGAAGTATTTATTGTTCAGGCTTAAACGAGATTTTTTTTTAGACAAAAAATCCTAGAAGATTATAAAAGAAAGAAAATGGAAAAAGATTTGGAGATGAACGGTAGTGCGCACAATGGTCGTGGACATAGTCAGCCACCAGCCACTTCCAGGCCAAAAAACACTGTTGGTTCCATCTGCTTTATTATTTCTTTCTTTCTCATCGGTCCAGGTCTTGATTGGTTCAGCTCGCTTTTAACGCCTTCCACCATAGCAGATAGTATGCATCAATTCCTGTGATGGATAGCAGAGAACATGGTCAAATTTGTGCTTTATGGCAATGCTCTTAATACTAGTGCTATTCGAGCGAAAGTGCACTCATATGAGACCCTTTCTTCTTGATGGGTACGTAGGATGTACCTTAGGGAAGAATATTCAGAGACAGATAGTACTTTCTGGTATTTTCCACTCTCATTGGCCAAGTCTCGCAGCCATATGATAGGATTGTATGCTATATGCAGATGGATATGAATTTGTTCTGAGGCAGATTTCGTGGCGATTTCAGAAAATTTTCACCGAATGAAAAAAAACATCTCTTGCTGCATCCATCCCAGCTGAAATTCCATCTTTCCTCTGGCTGTTAAGTGGAATGAATCCAAAATTTTTAAAGCTTAAGTTTTTTTTGTTGATATTTTTTTATAAAATGCTATCCTGTCAGCACCTATATAAGGCGAAAAAAGTTTTTTCTTATTTTGCATTATATTATATGAGATAAATGAGATTGGTTTAACCACTTTTCGACAAACCTTCTGGTCTGAAATTTAAAAGATCAATTTTTTATTAACCTAATTTTTACTCTTTTATTAGGCTGATACTATCCGAGTGCGCACATTGCAAAGAACGAATACTAGCAGCATATTTGATGACAATAGTACGCCTTCATCTGCTCGAATTTCAGTTCCAAGTACTGCAGAACCCAGTTAGTTTCAATTATTTTTATTATTCATTTATTTGGTAGGATAAAATTTGTCATATTTGTTTTTTATTTTTGTCAAACAAAAATAACAAAATAAATAAATAAATGAACAATTATTTGTTAAGTATAAAATAAAATAAATAAATATAAAATAATCAAAATATTTCGGAAAATAATCAAAAATGGATATAAAAAATAGTAGAATGCATTCATATATCTTAAAAACTAAAATATTCCACTTTGATTCCAGTAATATAAATTAAGTAATAAATCTTATTTTTTGCTGTTTTTGCTGTTTTTTAATTAGGTTCATTTTTTCGCCATCAAGATTTTCTTATAAGATTTTCTTTTTCTTTATTTCTCTTATTATTATGAATTAAATACATATTTATTTATTCGAATTGCAGCGAATTCTCTCTGCCTTTTCGATATGACTCCTTGATTGTTTGAGATTGTCTCAAAGCTTATATATTTTTATTCTTTTAGGCCTATTGCAGAGGACCTGAGGTTGAAAATTACCCATATCGCCCACAAGAGATAGAAAGGGATATATATGTTATATGTCGAAATGATATATACATATATATAAAATTATCATTTATATATAAATTATATATGTAAAATTTACATTTTCTTTTTCTTATTATATTTTGAACAGTGGAAAATTATTTTTCAGCTTTGAAATTGTTTTCGAAATATGTTCCCAAATCAAATCGCTCAATAATAATAAATGCTTTGCAATATTCAGTGTTTCCTGGTGCAGTTTGGGATAAACAAAGGAACGAGGTGAAAATTTTTATTTTCATTTTCATATTTATTGTTTATTTTTTTGAATTTCATTGAAATTTTTCGTAATCTTTTGCAGTAAATTGAATTCCATAATCTTCTTTTCTATTCATTTTTTTATTTCCATAGTTGATGTTTCCAGCCAGAAACAAGAAAATAATTGATAAAAGGAATGGTGATCTTATATCTTATTTTTAGACCAAATTTTTTACATGCTAACTTGCTAACTTCTTCATAACCCTTTATTTTCATGGGACTTTGGATAGTACAAAGTTCTATTAAATTATTACATTTTATGAAATGTTAAAACGTATATTCAGATAGTATATGCTGAAATTACAAAAGGGAATTAGCCGATATTAAATGTGTTCAACTTAGAGGCATGCATAAAGGATATTGTATTTTTTAGGTTTTAAGTGAGTTAGCGAAAAGCGACAGTAAACATTTATTGCTCTTATTTCGGGATCAAAAATGTCGCTATTTGGGTGCATACAGTTGGGATCAACAGTCGGACACAACTCACCGTATACATGGTAGAGGACCGAGTATCTGCAATGAAACGATGATGAATTTGATGTTCAAGTTAGTTCGATTCGTGCTCTCAACACTTTCACTTTCATTATATGAAAAAGAATGCCCATAGAAATTGTAGCTTTTGCTTCTTATGAGAAATGAGAATTGATTATTTACAGTGCATAAATATTTTCAGATACGATTCAGGAGCGAAAGCATTCACTCAGATTCCAACGAAACATCTTTCAGCTACAATTGATGGTTTTACTTTGCGTGATCAATATGTGCAAGGCCCTAAAATTCCTCATAGTAGTAGTATTTTGAGGTAGCTTATAATTGCATTAATATTCTTAGGATTATTTTTTCCCTTAGAATTCAAATATTATTTATTATTATTTGAGAAATGATTAAGTGCATTTTTATTCTGTCATTTTTTCTCTAGTGCAAATTTTTCCAATATTTTATTGAAATGGGTTTATAATGTTATTTGTTTTCGCTTACTTGTTTCTCCTTTATCTACTTAAAAGGGATATTAAAGGGCATTTGTTACTTTCATTTTTTTGATTTTGGAATATCTCATTTTTGTAAGTATTTTTACCGAATTGTTATGCTTATTTCGATGAATAGTTCGTAATTATTTATTTTATAGCATTTTAATTTGCTCTTCCATTTCTGCTCGCTTTGAATTTGAGTTCTGTTAATTTTAATTTGTAGATTTGTGTACAATATTTTTTAAATTTGGCAAATTTTTCATATGAGATATTTTTCGCTTTATCCGATTATTCAAAAGGCATAATTTCTATTCTATATATGATGTATCCTTTCGACTTGTAGGGTTATCTAAAGTAAACCATGCAAATAAAACTATGGATACCATTTTATGATTGGTTAAGAATAGAACGAGGAATAAAGTTGCTTTGTTATTGCTTCATTTTTTTAGATTAGTTTCTATTTTTAATTTTACCATGTTTACATCGCTAATTTTTTGCTGCTGTTTTTGTGGCGTTTTAAATAAATACATTTCTAAAACTAATATTTTTAGAAAGACATTCTTTATTAGTTTCATTATTCTTCAGTTAACGGGAGAGCTGGGTGGTACTGAAATTATCGTACCCACAATGTCTCCGAAATCTGTCATCAAAAACGGAAATGGTACTAATTGTGTACATGTAACCGAAATTGCATGGTGAAATTCTCTCATCATACCACATTTGGAGAAAGTCTGAACGGAATTGATCGGTATTAACCATTTGTTTTTACTTTATGGAGAAGTTGGGAAAGGGTTTCATTTAGCAGATGGTTATGGGGAAATTAGAATTTAGAAAAATGAAATGAGCAGGTTGTAATCGGTGATATCTCATTGTCTGTTACAGTGTATTCTTGATCAATGTATTCTTGTTGTATTCTTGTGCAAAAGCCCGTGAGGGGATAGGTTGTTTTGGATGATTTTAATTCGTATAGTTTGTTTTAAGCCATTTGGAAAATAAATTTTTTGATCAGAAAATACCTTCGAAAATGCGATTTTGTCCTTGCATGAATTTTAGAAAAGTGTAAATTTTTGTCATCGTATATATGAAGTAAAGGAGAGATTTTATTGGGCATAACAAATTTTGTCATATTTTTTAAATTAAATAATATGAAGAAAATGGACAACTACTTTCAATTTAGAATTGTTAGTTTTTTATGGGATTGAAACTTTTAAAGATTTGGTATATTAAGATAGCAGCGTAAGTGACATTGTTATTATCATAAATAAATTCTTTATTATTAATTGTAATAAATAAATGCTAATAAATTCATTATTATTAATTATAATAAATATCAAATTTTTCTATTAATTTCAGTTAATTTTACTAAAATATTGATACTAATAATCGTGCTTTTTTGGTTTTGATTAATAGAGCAACAAATAATTTTGCCAAAATTGTGATAAATTAAAATTTGTCGCAAATATTGTGCTTGTCGTTTATTAGGTCGCCAAATATATTGAGGATTGACAGTGAAAAAATATTTTCATATAAGTTGGCCAACTTTTTCGCTGCCTTTTATACGAATCGGTGTTGCACCACCTAAAAACTATGTTTAAATTATATTATACATCTAATGGCAAATAAATTAAAAATAATTTGTTTTAATGAAAAATATATATTGCAATAGGAAAGCAACAGCCTTGGTACGGAAAGTTTCAAGTTTGAATCCTAACAAAGTGACAACATAGATTCTCTTTTACATATATATATATATATATATATCAGACCACATCGATTGGAAGCGTCTTACCCTTGTAGTCGTTGGAGCCAGCTTAACCAATAATGGTAAGAGCTATTAGAAGAAGAAAGAAGAAGATATATATATATGAAATATTATAAAAATTCGGGCTGTTCACCCGTATTTATATCGCCAAGAAACTCCCTGACATATTTGTTTAGTGCAACAAGCCAGCGGAGCGAGTCTAACTAGTAATGGAGCTTTTTAAAGAAATATATATATATATATATATATAAAATACTATATATGCTGCATTTAGCCCATCGTAATTATGATTTTTTTTCTTCCAAAAAAGTGAATTTTTTAAAATTAAATAGCAGCTAACGATTCGTCCTCTATCAGCTAAATATAAAAGAATTACTTGGTACTTTACCAGATCGTTGCGGAGTCTTTGGATGATCCAATAAAATTTCTCTTGCTTTCTCATTAAAACCGTGATGAGGAGCAATTTGATTTTCTGAAGAATTTGGACGTTTGTCCTCAAGTTTCTGAAAGATTGATTTGATCTTTAAAATGTAGAAATACGTATTAGCTTTTTCTGAGCTCTTGAAATTTAACATTTTCCTCATTAAAAGAGTTAGGTTGTAGGTAGTAGATTACAACGATTAAAAAAGTTACGATTCTTAAGCACCATAGAAAAAAGGCAAAATAGGAGGAAAGTGAAAACAAATATAAACCCAAGAGCTTGAAGGAAAAATAATTTTCATACAAATTTCAAATGCATCTTAAAAATTTATCGTCAAAAAGCAGATTTATTAGATAGATCAAAACTATCGAAACTAAACATTACAAATATAGACTACAGGATTGAATTCTACCAATTCTTTTCTTCTTCTACCACAGATAATCGGGCTTCGGTTTAGGATCAGGTTGGAAACCGAATAATTGAGATCATTAGGCACCTAATATTTTTCTCTCCTAAATTCTTTTTATGGCATTCAAGCCAAATTAAAAAACCAATTTAAATTATAAATTATGCACTATAGTAATTTTTAAAAAGTTTGTATGTGAAAAATCAATTTAAATAATTTGCGTTAAATATTAAAAGAAATACAAGAAGAAATTAAATAAAATTAAATACAAGAAAAGCTGGGAAGCAAGTTTATCAACGACAAATTTATCCGAATGGAGGTATAAGGAAAACTGCAATTTTTTCGGAATTTTTTCTCAAAACTTTTTAACGATTTGTTTTCCAGATAATTTTTTTCTAGAATTTCGTTTTGTTGCCATCATTGGTCTCACAAAAATTTATATTTTATGAATTCGTATATCCATTTCTTATTTTCAAATGTTCACAATATTTTATCAATGCATATAAATGTTTCCTTACCATTTGGCCTTCACTGCAAAAAAAAACTATGACAAAAAATGTTCAGGATGTTCAGTATCCTGGAAAATTCCATAACAAATTAGAAGTATTTCAGAGAATTGGTAGCCTTTAATCCTGTTTTTGTGTTCAAATTAACATCTTTTCATGAAATAAAAATGCTGATTTAGATTAATTTATTATAATTATTTTCCTATTAAAATGCAACCATAAAAAAAATAACTCGATCAGAGACGAATACTGGAACGGATGGTGCTATAAGTATTCCCCGAGCTTTTTGACTAAATCCACGATGAGATGCACCAGAGTCACTTTCTGCCATCTTTTAACTCTCTAGTGCTCTTAGATCTGAAATTATAGATCGTTATGAATACGTATAGAATATCTATGAGCCAAATCTCGGATCGGAATTTTAAATATTGAAAAACACCACAAATAACTTATAGTTTTCTCAAAAATATCATATTTTTATTAAAATTTGATTAAATTTGAATTAATAATTTGAATTAAATTTGAATATCAAAATATTACACAATATTAGCCATTTATATATTCATACTTTTTTTTCTATAATTTTTCACGAATTCTTCCTTTTTCCTTGGGTCTCTAAATTCGAAACAGTCTTCAAGGCTGCTTTTTACATCTCAAAAGAAAGAAACTTTTTTAACTCAGTGGTATTGCAAAGGCCTGAAAAAATGGTAACCAGAAAGGAAGGCCACGTCTATAAGCTGAATGAGGAAGTAATTCCCAATCAAATTTTTTGAAGTATGAGATCTTGTATTGGAAAATTACATCTTTCCTTTTAACAATTGCAGTCAAATTTGATGAAACCTGTCCTTTCCTATCCTTAAAAGTTGAGTTGCTCGCAATGAATATCAAAGGTGATAATTTGGCCAGATTAGAGCAAATGATTTTCCTTTGTTTCCTTTATTTCTCATTTCAATAGCCGTTGTTTCTGGTGCTTTTTCCGCTGATGACCATTCGTATTTACAACTAGAACAATCGTAGAAGTGCCCACTATTCGTCGCTAGTAATGATCGCTAGTAAAAAGGGAAGAAATGATGAAATACGCGTTCTTCGTCGATCGTCGATATCTGTTTAGAATTGAATTGGAAAGATAACGGAGTATTCTTTGCCTATTATAACATGTTTTTTAACTATTTCATTCAGTGTTTATTCGATCAGTTTCGACTGTGGCGAGCAGTAAAATCTTCATCAGCTTTTGAAGGACCATAAAATTTTTGTGAAAATTCCGTAAAATAAAATTATCACTTCCAAATTTCGAAAATCTCCTTTCATGTTTTCTCATAGCCACTGCTTTCACTTCTCTGTATCGCTTGTTGTGATGAATTTCGGTAGAGCATTAAATATCTTAAATATTCCTTAGATGGTACTTTACGTTTCATTACTGGATCATTAGATAAATTAGTTTTTACCATCATTAGATAAATTAGTTTTTACTCAATTAAATGAAGCAAATAATGTCGCATTTCTATATTATAGGCATAAGAATATTTACTTTACTGTATTTACTTTTTTTTAGGAAATTGTTTCACTGAAAATTCACCTCAGATGGCGTTTTTAAAAAAATTGAAATCAAGACAGAGGAAAATAGATTGATTCTAATAACATAAAATATAATATAAATAATTATAAATATCTCTTTTAATTTTTCTATGATTATTATAATTTAAAAATTAATTATGAAAACAAATGAAATTTATTATTTAGTATACCTTCGCGCAGAAAAAGTTTGGATCGTCCATATTAAATTTATTTTTTTCATTCATTCTTATTCTTTTAATGGCAAGGACCACTTTTAGCTTGGTTTGATTGGTTAATTTTGTTAGAAGGCCCCTTATCATTCAAAATTGAAGGTTGATAAGAAATGAGTCGTGTTGCTCCATGCCTGAACTCCAGATATCAGCTGGACTTTAGTTTGAAGGATATTCATAGTCTAGTCAAGCGGGGATGGAACTCAGCCCTAGTCGAAGCAATATACTCCTCGTTCGACACTTTTCCCTTCTTCTTGCCTTTCTTCCTCTACCTTACCTTTCTTTTCCTATATTGTGAATCTAATAACATTGAAACCCACTAAATAATTGTTTAAAATTCATTTAAAACATATATTCAATAAAAGTTTATTCATTTATTCTTAAATCATTTATTCATTTATTGCAATGCCTTTCAGACGCATAAATCCTATTTAAAAAATATTGAAACTAAGCATCTATGAATTGGATTTCGGAAGTTCATGGCATAATCAAATAGGAAACCGGATTAAAGAAAAAATGATTTATAATTATCGATACCTTTATCACCACGTTCCTTAGCCCTTTGCCCCTCATCCCACGCATAACTAAATGATTTGAAACTTTCGACTAAACGGATTTCATTTCGAAATTCAGTTCCTAATAAATTTAAGCAAATCTAATATCGCCGAATTCCATAATGTTCAAAAAAGTTTGTCACCAGCAATTTTTAAAAAATTTTCTGCGATATGTTTTTTCGATATAAAATGCCACTTGATAATTAGTGCGACAAGTAGAAATAAATGAAGCGAAGATAAAAATTTCAAATCTAGAACATTGAAGTTATTCAAATTGTTAGTAAATATGTAGCGAATTGACGAAACAAGTCACATATATTCATGTAATTATTATGAAATTTTGAAGAACGGTCACGGTTATCGCTCGCGCTTTAATGGTTTAGGTTTGGCGCACTTCGAATTTGCGGTTCTGATTTAGGAGTAAAAGTAAGAAAATGAAGGGTTAGCGCTCACCATTTCTCGATAAGCTAGTTGGTTATTGTTATGCATAGAAATCTTTTTCGCGAAGAAATCACTTGCCGATAGAAGTTTGAGAGATAGCCAACATCACCAAGATTTTCCTATCTTGCAACACAATAATCTGAACCAATTCACAAACGCGTCTTCCATATGAATAGACTTTTCTCGAACAAATTAATATTGAATTATTTAGAAAAAACAGATCAAGCAGATGAGATCGTTCAATTTCAATTGGAACAAAACGAAAATCAAAGGGCAAGATTCGAGTCTATAAATGGCACGATAGTAGATATAAAATGCACACATCGTTTTCCTGTTTTGCCTTTTTCTTGGTCTAAGAATGCGGACCTAATGTTTCATTGCCCTTGTTAACTTGTAATTTTGTTTCATTCTCAGATATTAGTAAAAAGTCACAGATTCTTCTTTCTTCCTAATAATGATGAAATCTTGAAGATCTATTTGATTTTCTACGACCTCTGTCCAATTCAACTAATTTCATTTTATTGTATCTAACATTACTGCGGAGAATAATGCTCAGTGACTTTCGTAAAGTTTTATAGCACTGGGGTTCCACGGAGAAAGATAAAAATTTAGAAAAATCCGAGTGATGCTGACGACTCATCTGAAATCCTATCCTCAAATGATTCCCTGGTGAAATTTATCTGGGTCGATAGGTCAACGGAGCGAACCAACATCTAGAAAAAGTTTGGTCAAAGAGATAAAAAGACTATTGCTGGTTTGGTTGGAAATTCATTACGCTAAGAAACTATTTTGACGAAAAAAAAGAAAAAAATATTTAAAAATTGTTTTCTCCCCAATAATTCCCCAATAATTTTTAGTTAAAATATTTGCGAAATAAATAAATCAAAAAAAAAGCGAAACGACCAATTTCATGCGAAAATTTTAATCGTTATTTTCGCAAAAAATATTGCATTTATTTGATATTCAAATATTCAAATCGATTGAAAAAAATTTTCACACAGAAATCCTTAATCCTTTTTAAGGAGAAATAACTTCGAACATCCAATCCAATCTCCAGCAACTGGATGAATGCGAAATTGCATATCGTTTCCACTGTTAATAAAAACGGTGTTGCCACTGACAAAATTTAGCTAAGTGCATAAAGGCAGAAAAACGAGGTTGACAAATCATTAGCTGAGTGGTTCAATATTATATTATAAATGAAATATTTCAGAGTTGCTGAACGTAAGGTAGGATAGCCGATCGATGGCTTATTGAAAAAAGTGCATTTATTTAAAAGAGATTTCGTGAAAGGCTTTCACCCAAAATTAAACCAAAAATGGTGAATGGTTTCCTAATTTAATTTCATTTGATTTAATAAAAGAGCCCAACAAATCAAAATTTGGTATTTTTGGTATTTATGAGTAGCAATTGTTATTTTCAGTTGTATTAACAATGGCTTATATAAAAATATTTATCCTTGATTTCAAAGATTCGACAAATATACCGAAATGAACCACGTATCATCAAAATTGAAATCTGGTTAATGCATCTATATCTTCCATTCGCAAATGGCTTTCTAACGAAGTGAACTTGATCATTAGGATCAAGTGAAGCCAAATAGACCAGAAACGATAAGTGCGAAGAAGAAGAAAACAAAAAACTGAAATTACAGTTCAAGTAAATGAACTAAAAAACTGAAAGTTTCAAGAAGATAGTGAATGAGCGAAAAAGCAATAAAAATTCTAATGCTTATCTTAGAACTAATTAGTGAAGATTATTGCTATAAGTGAATAGAGTATTACATGCTAATCGACTGCTTTTAATGATAAAAATTTTTAGAGAAATGCTTGGCCGATGAATTTTTGAAATAATTAAACGGTGAGTAAACGATGCCAATCAATGAGATAAACTTAAAACTAAAGAAATATAAGTTTTATATCTAATCCAAGATAAATGAAAATGTTTAAAAAAATTTTCAATCGTGTTGGAAATCTTTTTGTTTTTAAGTGAAAATTCACGTTCTAATCGACAAAATATAGTGGTAAGTTTTTTTTCAATAAAGAATCGAATACGATGGTGCTGCAGTTTAGTCAAAGCAACTCGGTTAGTCTGTACTACAAACTGAAATCTTTAAACGCCTTATAACTATCAAACAGATAGGTTTAAATTCGGAAATTGAGAATATTAATAAAGAACAAGATTTCTGCAAAATATTGCTTGTTGGTACTATTGATATCAGTTGTTTTAGCAAAAGAGTCAATTTACAAGTTTCTCTTTTTTAGCTGCTGGTCGGTTAAAGATTTCATTTGTTGATGAAATAAGTAGCAATGATTCAAATCGTTTCGAATAGCAATAACAAATTAATGCAAGAAATAAGTTATTTGAAGCTTTTAATCTTAATGCATAGCCGAGTAGTTATTATTATTACAGAGCATCTGCCTCTGCCTCTAGCAAGAGTAAATTTGGGAAGTAATGATGGTCCACGACCCACCTGCATTTTTATCGGCAACTAGATAAGACTGAATTTTCAGTCCGCAAAAAAATTACCTTTTAAAATGAAAGATATTTGG